CATATATCTCACTCAAATTATATCTGTTTCAGACAATCTGAATTTTACCACACCCCTGAGATCGAGGGCTATCTACATGTCATTACCCAAAAGCATTGAGACCCGACATCAAAACATCGAAAGCACTGAACTTCTGATGCCAAAATTCACCCGGTATATAGTATTTTGTTTCATATCTCGCTCAAATCACATCCGTTTGAGATGATCTAAATTCTGACAGGCCCTTGAGAGTGAGGGCGATCTGGGTGTTAATACCCGAAAGCATCGGGGCACTCGGCACTCGGCACTCGGAACTCGGCACTCGGCACTTGGCACTCGGAACTCAGAACTCAGAAACTCGGCACTCAGCACTTGTAGTCAGTAAATACATAGTTTTTTGCAAATATCTCACTCAAATTATATCTGTTTGAGACAATGTGAGTTCTGCCACACCCTGAGATCAAGGGCTATCTACATATTAATGCTCGAAAGCATCAAGACCAGACATCAAAAACATCGAAAGCATCAACTTCTGATGCCAAAATTCACCCGGTATATAGTATTCTGTTCATATCTCACTCAAATCACATCCGTTTGAGATGATCTATATTCTGACGGGTCCCTGAGAGCGAGGGCGATCTAGGTGTTAATGCCCGAAAGCATCGGGATACTTGGCACTCGAACTCGGCACTGCACTCGGAACTCAGCACTCGGAACTCGGCACTGCACTCGGAAGAACTTGGCACTCGGAACTCGGCACTTGGAACTTGGTTCTCGGCACTTGGCACTCGGAACTCAGAACTCAGAACTCGGCACTCAGCACTCGGTAGTCAGTATATACATAGTATTTTGCAAATATCTCACTCAAATTATATCTGTTTGAGACAATGTGAGTTCTGCCACACCCCTGAGATCAAGGGCTATCTACATATTAATGCTCGAAAGCATCAAGACCAGACATCAAAAACATCGAAAGCATTGAACTTCTGATGCCAAAATTCACCCGGTATATAGTATTTTGTTCATATCTCACTCAAATCACATCCGTTTGAGATGATCTAAATTCTGACGGGCCCCTGAGTGTGAGGGCTATCTGGGTGTTAATACCCGAAAGCATCGGGGCACTCGGCACTCAGCACTCAGCACTCGGCACTCGGAACTCAGTTCTCGGCACTTGGCACTCCGCACTCAGTAGTCAGTGTGTGGTATTTTGCATATATCTCACTCAAATTATATCTGTTTGAGACAATGTGAATTCTGCCACACCCCTGAGATCGAGGGCTATCTACATGTTAATGCCCGAAAGCATCGAGACCCGACATCAAAAACATCGAAAGCATCAAACTTCCAATGCTGAAATTCACCCGGTATATAGTATTTTGCTCATATCTCACCCAAATCACATCTGTTTGAGGTGATCTAAATTCTGATGACCCCCTGAGAGCGAGGGCTATCTGTGTTTTAATACCCGGAAGCCTCAGGGCACTCAGCACTCGGCACTCGGCACTCGGCACTCGGCACTCGGCACTCGGCACTCGGCACTCGGCACTTGGCACTCGGCACTCGGCACTCGGCACTCAGCACTACTCGGTACTTGGTACTTGGTAGTCAGTACTCGGTGATTCGAGTCTCGAGACTCGAGACTTGTGATTCACAAGTCAAAATTTGAAACTAATGTGTAGTATCTTATGTATTTCTGTACTCATTTCACTGACTACCAAGTGCCGAATCTCGGGTCTTGGGTCTCAGGTCTCGGTACTCGGTACTCGGTATTTCCAGATGACAAAAATGTATATCATCTTAAATTTGAATTTTCTTAACTCGTAAAAATGTATGACTTTCCAGTTGGTTTTGAATTTTGAGTTTTGAGTCTCTTGAGTCCTGAGTCTGGGTGTTCAGGGCTCGGGTTTCAGGTTTCAGGTTTTGGGTTTTGGGTTTTGGGTTTTAGTACTTGGTACTTGATATTACTTGATGTCGGCCCACCCGTCTATGTAAAATTCTGCACTTCGGCCCACCTGTCTATCTAATATGACCCCACGTTGGCCCACCTGTCTATGTAATAAATAATTCACCTCACCCTTGGCCCACCCGTCTATCTAATATTACCCCACATCGGCCCACCTGTCTATGTAATAAATAATTCACCCCCACCCTTGGCTCACCCGTCTATCTAGTATTTCCCTACACATCGGCCCACCCGTCTATCTAATAATATTTCACCGCTCCCTCGGCCCATCTGTCTACAAAATAATACTGATACGTCGGCCCACCCCGTCTATATAATACTATTTGCTATACATCTCTCCTCAGGTCTATAATAGATGTCAATCCTACTCTACATATTACCCACATGGGCCCACCCATCTCCATAATAATATTTCTCTCCCGGCCCATCCGCTATCATCGATGATATATATAACATCAGCATAGATGGGCCCACCCGTCTCCATCGGAAATAATATTCCTCCCGGCCCACCCGTCAACATCGGGTATATACATAACATCGGCCCATAATCCGCTGGCCTGTATTTACACGGGATATTATGTAGGTCGGGTGACCCGTATAATACGGGATTTGTCACTGAAGGGGGCTCATCCATAGTCAAAATCTCTTTCGCGTTCCTCACCTTCGCCTCACTTTCTGCCAGTGTTACCTCAGCCCGTCCTTTCTCTATCATGTAATTATACTGTTTGTCCTCTCGGAGCTCCACGTTTTTCGAGCAGTTTCAAGCGTGCAACGTCACTGTCTGCTGTCGCCTTCAAGAATTCGACATTCGACGCAAAAAACTCGGCAGCTTCATTGCCAATACCAGTCTGCAAAGCCTTGCGTTGTGCCGTGGTGCAGGGACTCCCTTCTGCATCGTTGCTTGACTTTCTTGTCACCTGCGGACAAAAACGGATTGCATGCAGGTTGACCTGCTTTTGGCTTACTCTTTTTCTCCATATCATTGTCCTTGCTTTCACCATCACTGCCCTCCTCGCTGCTGATATCGATTGTATCTGAGATCATGCCAGAGCGAAAATCCTCCTCTCGCACAAGTCCCGGGTGCTCACCAAGCCTGCCGAGTCATGTAAGTAATGTTTCGTGCAGATGTCCAGCTACTCACCTGTCGTTGAACAGTGCTTACCATCCCTCGTCATACCATTTTTTCAAGGTAGCACCAGATAAGTTCCCAATATCCTTCCCAGCAGTTCGAGCATTCTCAATCTTCTCGTCAAGGACTTCAACATCAGGATCACCACCACCATTGCCGGTGATGGACTCAAAAGTCAAAATATATGAAAACACTCGTCGTAAGTGTTCGTAACGTCCCTTGATTGACTCTGGGCTGCGCCGTCCTTTGAATATACGTTCAGAGACCTGTATGGTATGGTGTTAGCAGTTATCGAGGCGAGTCTACTTTGCATCTTTGTTACCTTTTTGAAGATGTGTTTAGCATTGCCAGTGAGGCCTTCATAGAATTCGCTGTCACCACCTAGCAGGGTTTCGAGTAAAAGTTTGGTGTCTTCGTCTGACCAATGGCTTTGCTCTTGAAGGTGAGCCATGGCTTGTTCCCCTTCAATTTTTGTCTTCGCCTTTGTCTTCAATTTTGCAGCTGTGGCCTTCCGCTTCGATCCTTTGCTGGCACAGGTTTCACTACTAGTCTGAGTTAATGGTGTGTCATTCTCAGTTTTCTTTATCTTCTTCGCACTGTCACCATCTTCCAGGAGGTTACCATGATATTCCTCGCGTCCTCGCTTCTGTGGTTGTGGAGCCACTGTAGCTGGCAAAGGTCTTGGATCACATGCTGCCTCGTCTGCCCGAGTCAGACCATAGACGAATTTATTCGAATCATTTGGTTGAGGCTGACCACATGCTTCGAGCACCTGGCGAATATGAGGAAGCTTCAGCTAGTCAGTATTTGTCAAGTATTATGTTCATGCTATTGGCCACTCACTTGTACTCTAGATTGCTGATTATGCTGTGGTCGGGGAATTGATTCATAGGGCTGCTCTTGTTGCAGCTGGCTGGATTCACGATACAGGATCAGTCACATACAGAGCTTGAAAAAATAATGACCTACTGTTTCGTGTCATACCAGTAATGCTCTGCACGATAATGCTGTTGCTGTTGCTGATACTGATTTTGTGTGTTGTGTGCAAGCACTGCTGTGACTACTGCCCGGTGCTCGTAACTGGTCAGTGGAGCAGCATGTTGTCCACCTCCATGCGGCATGGCATAGCCATATCGTGGTTGCTCCTGCTATCGAGTGTATCCACCACCATTGTGAGGATAGTAGTCCATTGCTACTGTGCTGGAGCCGTTTACACTGGCAGTACAACAACTACCAGCCAGACACATCCGGGCTTCTTCGGAGTTGAGACTAATTTACGGAGCGGAAATGAATCGCTTAAGACTAAAATAACTCTACTTATGATATTCGGATCCCAAGTGAACGTGAACTTTTAGAATTGAGCAGCCCTATGGTCTTGCTTTCGCTGCTGTGCGCGGGGCATATCGATCACCGTTGAATGTTGAGCGACGCGTTGAACGATGGGAACTGATCAAGTTGATAACGCATGATTCCGAAAGTCACCGGTTGACGGCCGGCGTCCGGTTCCAAACAAGGAGTTATAAGCGTCGCTAATCAGTGTCGTAACTTGCTTGGATCCCAAGTGAACGCGAACTTTTAGAATTGAGCAGCTCTTTAAGCATCAGATCCGGAAGATCCAGGGTACCGAAATTACACATGCCGACATTCAGGCTCTTCTTCCTTCTGAAAGCCAGAGAAAGATCACTGGTACAAGTATCAGCGCATACGGCACATGCACGGAAGACATGCATGAAGACAGAGATTTCTGTATATTTAATTCATGGATCGCGCCAATCGCATCTGGCCAAGTAAAACCAGGGACTACCTATGGCACAATTCATGGTCATGTACATGCGTCTGTAAGTCCTTGAACACTCTGACATTGTAAGTAATCATATGACCCGCACTACACATCCTGAATGTATGATTGTTTCTGATAGCAACTCAATGCATCTGACGACGACGACGAAAAATTTCTCGGATGGTACCAACCTTCCACTGTTCTCACGTACTCTCAAGACATTTGAGCTCCACACTCATGCACCTATACAGCAACTCATTTACCACCTCAATGGAAATCCATTCGCACAGCAGCTCCACAATCATCTCACCTTGACCACTGAGGCAGGTGCTCGCTGGGCAACTCTCTCTCGACCATCCGTCAAACATGTTATTCTAAAATTGCCACCTACCATCAAGATTCCGGTGAGGGGGGCACGAGGGATCAAGAATTAGTGATTGATATATTCTAGTAAACTTATTATATGTTATTGAAATACTATGTTCCTCTACGGTCGCCGCCGTTGTCAACAGTGAGCAGCGTGTCACCATCTGTCACGCATTGGCTGGAGGTCACGGTATGTCACACCACGTGATTTTTGACCTCTGCCCGGAATTGCATTTTTGAGGCCAAAAGTTTCGCATTTTTGAGGCCAATTTTAGCTGGTCGGGCGGGTGGACCTTGGCAGGAGCTTCCGGGGGCCTGGAAGTCGTCTGCAAAGTCTATTGGGGGGGTACCCCCCCAATAGATTAAGGTTTATTGAGGGGGATTTTTCGAGCCTACGGAAAGTCATCCACTTACTTACAACCTTAATGGAACTTCAGCACAAGCGATTACTGCCAGCCATCTGCACACCCAACCGTCTCTCATATCACATAACCTCCCCAGGCCCCTCTTGAAACGCAAACACATCGTACCTCAGCTCATCTAACGAACAAGCCTACGAGCCCTACTCCCTCCCGCCAATCCCTACTTGTATGTCATCCATACTATCTCATATCCAATCATACAAGTTCAAAACGTCAACGTAATTAACAGCCCTACTCAAACTCCAGCGCAAGCGGCCACTACCAATTATCAAATTCGAGTCACCCCCAGGCCTTGCTCTCTCGCGTTACCTCTCCTGCGGCCCCCTCGATACACAAACCAATTGTACACCAGCTCCTCTGACGAACAAGCCTATCCACCCGCATACCCCTCCGCTTCTACAACCTCCTCCTCCAACATCCGCCCTCGCCATAATGCACTCGAAAGGTCTCACTACGATTGGCCCGCTTCCGCTTGGAACAAATCCAGCTCCATTGTAGCAGCTAGCAAACTTGGGGCTTATCCAGCTCGTGCCGCTCGGCCAACACCCGTCGCCACCAGCTCGAAAACAGGCATCTTCGTGCTTGTCTTCCTCACCAGATACGTGATCACCGGCATCCGTGGCTGGGAATATGGACGCCCTGCTTACCTGCTGCTTCAGTTGTAGTAGCATAATGCGCCCGAAGGGACAGCAGAGGGAAAAAATTGTGGTGGGGATTGGGAATGTTGTTTTGGAGGTGTTAACAGCTATTAGTATGTCTCCCCACCATGCACTTTTTTCATCCTCCATGTACTTCCATTCTTATCGTGTAAGGCAGATTTGACCGTCCCTCCATTATATGTCCGGCCTATAAGGACGGTCGTGATCAATGTCTTCCCTTCCGAAAATTTCAGCGTGGTACGAGTGCGAATCAATACGCTCACTACCAACAGCTCGTCAGTTCCCTGTCTGAAACTTATGAAGGACCAACAATTCCATTGATGTCCTAAACTGCACAGGATCCTGAAACTAGGCTATGGGTATCTCTGTCGTTGGTCGCAGCAAGCTCGTAGACACGGGATTCAGTCGTCAGACTTTGACACGCTTGCATGTTTGTAAGACACGCATGAAACAAAGGTCTGACTGGAGACCATAGCATAGGTGACATCCAGCGCCGACTTGATGCCGACATCCTGTAAGTCAATTTCTCCTTTGTTCTACGATGACGTCGTCAGTTACTCACTCGAGAAGATGCATCTAGACTCAGGTTACGATCTACTCGATCATTGAGAAATTGAATGGGTTTTGACGTGGTATGCACAGAGTAGTAGCCAACGCTGCATGTATAATGCATCCACTTTATAAAACTTCATAACCCAGAGCTATGGCCATTTGCACATTACACGCTGTCCCTTGAAGAATGAATGCTGGAAATTTTCAAAGTGCATCCGCTGCTCGAGGTCCATCGAGTTTGCAGGCTATCTTCCGCTCGCGGCCAGGTCTTTTCAAAGATCTTATCCATCAACTCCCAACTGGAGTCACTGGCGTTGTCAGGAACCTTTAGTTCCGTGCGTGTAGGGTTTAAATGAAACAAATGGGATATCTTTAGAAAAGTCACGCAAGTTGAGACAAGTTGTGGAGCAGAACATACCCAACCCTGATGCGCTTGAAATCGGACCATGGATGCTTGAGAGATACATCAAGCGCAGCAGCTCTCGCCACTGTCTCGACTGAGGGAGACCGACATTCCCCAAACACGTATACGCCATATCAGACAAAGCACCATATTGTGTGATCATACAACCATTTGGTACAGTTCCACATCCTGTACCTACCACGACAGACCTTTCAAGCAACTTGCATTCATAGCCGAGACGCCTCAGCTTCCCTTCGAACTAGAACATCATTGATGTTGGGTTCCATTGCCCAACATTAAGGCCTTGCTGAAGACAAGCGGATCAGTGCGATTGCTGTCACAACATGACGGTGAAACATACGCAGGCGATGATTTAAAGTGATTTCAAGAATAGTCTTGATCAATCTCGCCTTTGCCTGAGAGCACAAATATTCCTTCTCCCTCTCCTTGGAGCGTTCAAAAGCTTCTTTTACCTTCCTCTGGAAGCGTTCAAACGGTAACTTTGCGATCCAAGCAGGGATCCTCATAGCTTCTTCATATGCGTGAGTGGCAGCAGTCACGGCTTCTTCAAATGCCTGGACGGCAGCGCCGACAGCTTCCCTGACAGCAACTGCATGCGGAGATGCCATGTACTGCTCGAGAGCGACAAGACAAGAAGGAACAGAATCTGGCTTGTCCCGAGGATAGCGCCGCTTTTCGAAAATATAGAAAGAGTGTTCCAAGATAATGACAGCAGCTAAATGATCAATAATAAGTATATTCATCGCAACGTAGCCTCAAAATTCACCAGAACTGAGCTGAACAATTTTTCCCAGGGATGATGAGCCAGAAGCCTAGCACATTCGCAACATAAGGAACATGTACAAATCTGTGGCCAATTGGACATACCGCTGAGAGTAACCTAGACCCCATCGCTGTTCGATCATCCCGATAAGACTAGGTCAAACCATGAAAAAATTAAATATCATCTACCTCTGCTAGGGATCGATATACTCACAGTCTGCCAATGTGTAGCATCTTCAGTCAGCATGGCCCAAAGTCCAAGAAGGATGAAAAAAATAACCTCCTAGTGATGGATCAGCGATATCGTTCATTCGAGGCGCTAGGATAAAACACTCACTTTCTATTAAGGGATGTCCGGTTTCAGTCGTAAGCAAAGCTCGAGCTCGACAGAGGATTAGCGCACTCACATTCTGTCGGTGATCGAGCAATGTAATTAGTGAGCAAGGCTAAAGCTCAATTGAGGTTGAATAGACTCGCCATCTGTGAATCGATCAGCGATGGCGTCGATCAGCAACGTTCCAGCTCAACGGCAGGTGGACACACTCACTCGCTGTTAACAGGGATCGGCAATTTCATTGGTCAGTGACACTCCAATTCGACTGCGGATCGATGGGCTTACGGTCTGTGAACGGATGGGAGACGCTTCAGTCAGTATAGCTCGATCTCTATGGTAGATCAACAAGCTCACAATCTGTTAACGGAGTAACAATGTTTTCGGTCAGTACTGGAGCGATGGCGACTGAGAATCAATACACTCACACCCTGACCATACATCAGTGATTGCATCTGTGAAAGAGGATGATCACACTCACAAGCTGTCGACGGATCAATGATGCATTTGGTCAGTGGCTCGAGCTCGAAGGAGGATTGACAAACTCACTTGCTGCGAACGGTGGGCAACTTGGATCAGTATGGCTCGAGCTCGAAGGACGATCGACACACTCACATACTGCGAACAGTCAGCAGCGGTTTGAATCAGCATGGCTGGAGCTCGAAGAAGGATCGACACACTCACTTCCTGCGAACGGTGGGCAACGACTTAAATCAGTATGGTTTGGAGCTCGAAGGACGATCAACACACTCACACGCTGCGAACGGTAGCCAACGACTTGGATCAGCAAGGATCGAGCTCGAAGAAGGATCGACACACTCACGTCCTGCGAACGGTGGCCAACGACTTGGATCAGCATGGCTCAAGCTCGAAGAAGGATCGACACACTCACACGCTGTGAACGGTGGGAAACGACTTGAATCAGCATGACTCGAGCTCGAAGGACAATCAACACACTCACAGCCTGTGAACGGTGAGCAACGACTTGGATCAGCATGGCTCGAGCGTGAAGGACGATCGACACACTCACATCCTGCGAACGGCGGTCAACGACTTGGATCAGCATGGCTCTATCTCGAAGGACGATCGACACACTCACCAACTGCGAACGGTGGGCATCAGTATGGCTCGAGCTTGAAAGAGGATCGACACACTCACTTGCTGCGAACGGCGGGCAACGACTTGGATTAGCATAGCGCTCGAGCTCGATGGAGGAGCGACACACTCACATCCTGCGAAGAGTGGGCAACAACTTGGATCAGCATGGATGGAGCTCGAAGGAGGATCGACACACTCACAGCCTGCAAACGATGGGCAACGACTTGGATCAGCGTGGCTCGAGCTCGAAGAAGGAACGACACACTCACGTCCTGCGAACAGTGACCAACGACTTGAATTAGCATGGCTCGAGTTCGAAGGATGATCGACACACTCACAGGCTGCGAACGGTGGGCAACGACTTGGATCAGCATGGCTCTATCCCGAAGGACGATCAACACGCTCACCAACTGCGAACGGTGGGCATCAGCATGGCTCGAGCTCGAAGGAGGATCGACACACTCACTTGCTACGACGTGGTAACAACTAGGATGAGCATGGCTCGAGCTCGAAGGACGATCGACACACTCACATACTGCAAATGGTGGGCAACGACTTGGATCAGCATGGCTCGAGCTCGAAGGACGATTGACACACTCACGTCCTGCGAACGGTGGGTATCAGCATGGCTCGAGCTCCAAGGACGATCAACACACTCACACGCTGCGAATGGTGGGCGACGACTTGGATCAGCATGGCTCGAGCTCGATGGACGATCAACACACTCACAGCCTGCGAATGGTGGGCAACGACTTGGATCAGCATGGCTCAAGCTCGAAGCAGGATCCACAGACTCACATACTGCGAACGGTGGGCAACGACTTGGATCAGCAAGGCTTGAGCTCGAAGGACGATCGACACACTCACACGCTGCGAATGGTAGGCGACGACTTGGATCAGCATGGTTTGAGCTCGAAGGACAATCGTACACTCACTTCCTGCGAACGGCGGGCAACGACTTGGATCAGCGTAGCTCGAGCTCGAAGAAGGATCGACAGACTCACCAACTGCGAACGGTGGGTATCAGCATGGCTCGAGCTCCAAGGACGATCAACACACTCACTTGCTGCGAACGGTGGGCAACAACTAGGATGAGCATGGCTCGAGCTCGAAGGAGCATCGATACACTCACTTCCTGCGAACGGTAGGCAACACCTTGAATCAGCATGGCTCGAGTTCGATGGACGATCGACACACTCACATCCTGCGAACGGCAGTCAACGACTCGGATCAGCATGGTTCGAGTTCGAAGGACGATCCATACACTCACATACTGCGAACGGTGGGCAAGGACTTGGATCAGCATGGCTTGAGCTCGAAGGACAATTGACACACTCACAGCCTGCGAATGGTGGGCAATGACTTGGATGAGCATGGCTCAAGCTCGAAAGACGGTCGACACGCTCACAGCCTGCGAATGGTGGGCAACGACTTGGATCAGCATGGCTCAAGCTCGAAGGAGGATCCACAAACTTACATACTGCGAACGGTGGCCAACGACTTGGATCAGCATGACTTGAGCTCTAAGGACGATCACAAACTCACAGGCTGCGAACGGTGGGAAACAACTTGAATCAACGTGGCTGGAGCGCGAAGGACGATCGACACACTCACGTCCTGTGAACGGTGGGCAACGACTTGGATCAGCATGGCTCGAGCTCAAAGGACGATCGACACACTCACATCCTGCGAACGGCGGTCAACGACTTGGATCAGCATGGCTCTTTCTCGAAGGACGATCGACACACTCACCAACTACAAACGGTGAGCATCAGCATGGCTCGAGCTAGAAGAAGGATCGACACACTCACACGCTGCGAACGGTCGGCAACGACTTGGATCAGCATGGGTCGAGCTCGAAGGAGGATCCACACGCTCACATACTGCGAACGATGGGCAACGACTTGGATCAGCATGGCTCGAGCTCGAAGGAGGATCGACACACTCACAGCCTGCAAACGATGGGCAACGACTTGGATCAGCGTGGCTCGAGCTCGAAGAAGGAACGACACACTCACACGCTGCGAACAGTGACCAACGACTTGAATGAGCATGGCTCTATCTCGAAGGACGATCGACACACTCACATACTGCGAACGGTGGCCAACGACTTGGATCAGCATGGCTCGAGCTTGATGGACGATCAACACACTCACCCACTGCAAATGGTGGTCAACGACTTGGATCAGCATGGCTCGAGCTCGAAGGATGATCGACACACTCACGTCCTGTGAACGGTGGCCAACGACTTGGATCAGCATGGCTTGAGCTCGAAGGACGATCGACACACTCACAGCCTGCGAACGGCGGGCAACTTGGATCAGCATGGCTCGAGCTCGAAGGACGATCAACACACTCACACGCTGCAAACGGTGGCCAACGACTTGGATCAGTATGGCTTGAACTCGAAGGAGGATTGACACACTGACTTGCTGCGAAAGGTCGGCAACAATTAGGATCAGCATGGTTCGAGGTCGAAGGATGATCGACACACTCACAGCCTGTGAACGATGGGCAACGACTTGGATCAGCGTGGCTCGAGCTCGAAGGACGATCGACACACTCACAGCCTGCGAATGGTGGGCAACGACTTGGATCAACATGGCTCGAGCTCGAAGCAGGATTCACAGACTCACTTCCTGCGAATGGTAGGCAACGACTTGGATCAGCGTGGCTCGAGCTCGATGGAGGATCGACACACTCACGTCCTGCGAACGGGGGCAACGACTTGGATCAGCATGGCTCGAGCTCGATGGAGGATTAACAGACGTACTACCTGCAAGTAAACCCAAGGTCAGTCAAAGCAATCTTTGAACTTCCGATAATCTTACCACAATATGTGGAAACCAGACACACAATCTCCCTATTATGTCCTGGTGACCTTTAGATGCTGTTTTCTCAGAGTCAAAACATTGCGAGAGTATTCTGGACATAATAAGTCGCTAACACTCATGGCAGGCAAATGAGACTATGTGTAGTCACCTCTGCACTGCATATTTCATGCAGAGCTCCAAGTTGGTCTGCTGGGTCGAGACAAATAATTGCTGTAGCACTTCACTATCCAGAGTTCTAGCCGTGCGTTCGATGAGTGGCGCACAATCTGCATCATCATTGTCCATGTCTAATGGATCGGTGTCATCATGTAACGAAATCATAAGTCGACCACCAACAACTTACTTGGCAGGCATACATGACATTTTGGAGGGCGTTGAATGACCTTGGAGTGGTATAGAAACTTCAGTTGTGGCCCAATTGTAAATGACTCTTCAGCGTGCTTTGGCGCCCGTTCTCCAGCTTCCTCTATTGATGCTCCCTTCGATTTCAGTTCTGCATAAGCCACGTCGTAGAGGGCATCGAATTTGGTAAACAATACCATCACTGGAACTGAAGATTGAGATTTTGTGCATCAGTCGAACTTCATCAACGTTCAACAATATTGGACGAGTGCGAAAGCTTACTGCTTCCAGTGTCGCACTGAGAGAAAAACTTCTTTTCGCCTTCTGTAATGATCTGCTTGCCTCGTCCATTGGGATGCAGAACCTATGTTAAAACCATGAGATAGTACATATCGTGATTGATCAATTGCGATTACCAGATAACATGGAGTCGATCTTGTAATTTGGTTTCCTCAGAACGGCGCGCAATAAATGCCTTCACCTTGTCGAATTCGGATTCGCCGCCTGCTTCAAACCCGCGTGAATCGTGAAAAAACGAATTCTGGGTTGCTTCGAAACACCATTTCATTCTCGATATCGTGCTCTCCACGCTGAGAACGCGTCAGTTCATGTTACCAACTATTGAAAGTACACGCCACCTCTGTGGAAGCCATCAAAACTGTGGCATCGATCTGATATCCATCGCTCGGTACTCAGTCATCACTACATCCTCCTCTAGCATTGTGATGCGCACCTTTTTCCCGGCCCTGTTGTATATTTCAGGGTTGTCCCGTGTGTTACAAACTCTCTGGAGGATGGTAGTTTTTCCTGCATTTGCTCTTCCTATAACGAGGATTCGAAAGCGACCGATTTTGTCTCTTATCTTTGAAGGATCCATGATGGTGGAAGGTAAATGCGTGACGGAGAAGAGTTGGTGACAGTGTAGCCTTATAATGTGAACTCGGTGAATTCTGCCTATCTAGATTCGGTGGGCAATGGGTATGTGGAGCTGTATATCACATGAGGCATACAGATGTCGATGTGGCTTGACAGTCTTAACTACTTACAGACCACTGTGCTTGTCATTGAGCGTCTTCGCTGCATGCTCATCACGAGCTCCGTCTGGTCTGTGCACGAAGCTAGTGACGTATGAACAAAAGGCACAGTGGATACCGGACCATATCCGATCTCCACTAGGTTGTTCGAACTTCGACGGCGCTTCTTGCTACCACTACCGCATCTGTAAACTTTGAAATTATGGTATTTTTAGTAGCTCCCATTCCTCATGCTAATCGATGGCCATCGATGATCCTAAAGCAGCTGAAATTTGAAAGCCCATCGATGCATCATCGCAAACTTCCTCTGATGCTCCAACTTTACTTCTCGCCTTAGCCAACAACATGCAGACAGCCTACTCAAAATCCAATGTCTCTCAGTCTGTCTCAGATATCATCGCTGCACTACAAAATATCGTATGTCCCCAGTTTCTTGAATCAGAATTCATGTCCACTGAGAATAACAATCACCCGTTCCAGCTCGCACGCTCGCAGGTGATTGTACGTTTACATTTTGCTCTATTCCGGTGTCATGTTACTGACGATGACTGACAGATTCCAGTCCTTGAAACTCCATACTCCACATTCCACAATACCTACCGTTCTACTGTCGAAGTCGATGCCCAGAGCGTTATCAATATCATCGCTGAACGCCAGCAGCAATTGGATGCTGTCCTGCATGAGATCTCGGGCCTGCAGGCCGTAATGGATAGCGTCAAAAATCTTCATCAGCAGGTCGTCAAAAAGAAGGAGAAGATTACTCAGTCAATGAATTTGCACAAGGCACTCGTATCGGCTCTCAGACGTCTGCCAACAGAACTCCTATCCCAAATATTCAACCTCTGTCTCCCCGAAACCAAATTGTTGTTACGCCCATCAACCATAAGAGCCCCTATGTTGTTAACAGGAATATGCCAACGATGGAGGGAGGTTGCTGTGGGTATGCCCAATTTATGGTGTAGGTTGTATGTAGAAGCCGACGACAAAGACTGGGAGCGGGCAGCTTTTTGCTATGACTTGTGGTTCAAGCGTTCACGAGGACGTCCGCTCTCGTTAGCATTCGGGTGCTACCACTCGACCAAACTACGAAGCCTTCTTCAGCCTTACATCACTCAAATCACATCACTCCGAGTCACTGTTCGTTCCTTCCAGGGCCTATGCCCTCCGCTTTTTGTGACAGACCTCCCAGCACTTCAGGAGCTGGCCATACTAGGGATGACAACTCTTGACCTTCCAACTATTGCACAATCTATCTCGCGACTACCGTCCACTATACGCAGTCTCAAGGTCATTGACATGCGCCCGTTGTTCGACATCGAGCGCTTGTCTACTTTCAGTCCCGTATGGGCCCATTTGACAGATATCCAGATCGCCGTACGTCACCAGGACGCAGTCATCCATTTGCTTCAGCTATGTCCCAACCTCTCCTCGTTAACTCTCCGCATAGCATTCGATCAAATTGATCCCTTGAAACCATTCACGCATACCAAATTACAATCCTTATGCATCACTTATGACGCTTTGCTCATGCGCCCTATATCCGACCTGCTCAATGCTCTATCGCTCCCCAATTTGCGCGCGCTTGAAGCTCGCCGCAATGCATCTTGGCCTCACGAGGATATGAAGGCATTATTGGCACGGTCAAAGTGTCCACTGAAGACCCTGACTGTCGGCGGTCGAGTGACGATAACAGATGCGCAACGAGCGGAATATGTTTCCCTCATTCCTTCCCTCGAAGTAATAGTGGATCACAGTAGTAGATACATTTGATGAGACTAGGTCGTTACACATTTCAAGAAATGACGCTATCGGGTTGGCAGTAAAATGACACAACGAGACTGATAGGAGAAAGGCATACTTTGCGAAGCCGAAAGTGATCAGCACGAAGACATCAGAAATTGAAATATCCGTTGAACACTCCCCAGTTTCTTGCCGCGAACCACTGTACCCAAACCAGTGCCTTGCAGTCAGTCTTGTGACCGTCCACCCAGGCTTTCTTCTGACAAACCTGAGAATAGGGTCAAGTTAGACACACGACTTGAATCGGAACATAATACCCCCAACGCTCACCGCTCCACAATATGACGCTTGTTTGCAACGGGCGCACAAGCGCAAGTGCGTATTGTCAGAGGTATTCTCCTTTTTACCACAAGACCCACAACATATTGATTGGGTGTTCAACTTGCGTGCAGCCACTTCGTCGCTTGCCTTCAGCAGCTGCTCGAGTGAGCATGGTATGATTCTGATAATAGAGGGTTCTTCGACGCGTATACCAACGGTCATGTCTAGGAAGCCATGTTGTTCGCCATACAGCACAGCAACTGTGTGGCCTTCCTTGATTTGCGGAACGAGCGGTCGTCCGCGGTCGTCTGTGTACAACCCGATGGTAACGACCTGACCATCCTTGTCCTTTACACGTAACAGGACTCGGCAGAGACCGTAGGAGCCCACAATCTCGCCAAGGAAGCACCAGTGCTGTCTGGGTGAAAAGCTGTATGGGCCCTGGACATAGTAGGTGGGATCAACACCATTCTCATACGGAAGGTCGCTGAATGTTGGGAAGTTGACGTTATTGCGCAGGAGGCTTTGAGAACCCCCGGTGTCTGGCATGATTTGACGCAGTGAACTGATTCAAATTTGAGCCGCTTGTCCGAATAGATCTCGAGGAAGAACCAAACCTATGCATTCTGTGTGTTTGAAGCTGCTTCGACTTCAAGCTGAGTTGGATGGAGTAACGACTCGGAGAAGACAAGAGAATGTCCTGGAAATGGACACTCTGGGGACAAGTCTATCGTAGACAGCAGCAGGCTCTGTAGGCGTGTTGGTAGCGTGTTAATTGGTGGCGTATCTGGGTTCCACTGTGGGTCCAGGCTCCTGGCCCTTCATCATGAGGCAAGGCTTCGATAAACGCACTGGCCACGAGTCTATCCGCAGCACGCAAACTTCAGGTGTAGGCCGCCTACTTGATTCGATCATGTCACGGTAGAGGGGCGGGTTACCTTTAATGGTGCTTTGCAAACGGCGACAAATAATTGACTTGCGAAGCTTCCTTTCGGATGAAGACTTGACGAAGACGTTCGACTATTCACGAACTTGAACACCGAGAGAAGTGCAAATTCCCTCATATGAGATTCCCGTCGCGCTCGACTACCTCGAGTGTCGTGCTTGCGAACGTTTGTGATACAATTACCGCAGCACAGTAAGTCATCACATGTCAGACTTAGGAATACATACTACGCCGCAAGAGCCACCCTTGCATAATAACACAGTTGGTTGTGTATCGTTCATGCATGTTCATGCCTCGCGAAAATTCTAATGTTTGATTAATGTCCTGGAATCATGGGCTAGGGCAGTACGACACAATAAGATGAGACTGACAGGATAATATGATAATTAAGCCAACGATTTATCAGGGAGAAGCATCAGAAACTAAACCAGTCATGGAACATTCTCCAGTTCCTTTCTGTGAACCACCGTACCCCAACAAGCGCCTTGCAGTCAGCCTTGTGACCAGCCACCCAGGCTTTCTTCTGACAATCCTAAAACGTGCTCGAATCAGATACCTGAACTGGATTGGGACATAACATCGCCAACGCTCACCTCTCCGCAATAAGCCGTGTGTCTGCAGCGGGAGCACAAGCGCAAATGCGTATTGTCAGAGGCGTTCTCCTCCTTACCACAAGATCCACAACGTCTTGGCTGGCCTTTGCGTAGTGTAGCCACATCATCGCTGGCCTTCAGCAACTGCTCGAGTGAGCATGGTATGATTTTGATGTTGGAAATATCTCCGACGCGTATGCCGACGGTCATGTCTAGGAAACGATGTTGCTCGCTATACAGTACAGCAACTGTGTGGCCTATCTTGATTTGTGGAGCGAGCGCTTGTCCACGGTCGTCTGTGTACAGCCCGATGGTAACGACCTGTCCGTCCTTATCCTTTACGCGTAACAGGCCTCGTACAAGACCGATAGAGTCGACAATCTCGCCGACAAAGCACCAGTGCTGGCTGGGTTTGAATCCGAACGGGCCACTATCGTAGTATTTGAGGTCAATTTCAATCCTAGGCTCATCCGGAAGGCTGCTAAAAGTTGGGAAATTGAAGCTATTGCGCAAGAGGCTTTGAGGTTTCTTGGATATCGGCATCGTCTGCTACAATCTGATTCCAGTTGAGTTTGTCATAAACCTCGAGGAAGAAAGACCAAACCTATGAAATTATGTGTATTTGAATTTGCTTCAACTTCAAGTTGAATTGGACGACGTAATGAGAGGACGAGGTAGAGGATGGTGACTGACAAACATTGGACGAACCTGCAGGATCTTAAATACTAGTATGGTGCCGTAAAATGTGACAAAGAAACGAGGAACAACGAACAAAGAGCTCAACATGCGGCGCGCAGCGCTTCAATGTCGCGGTGGAGACCTTTGTGCAATTGAACTTGCTCATTGAACTGGCAACCGATGATTCAGAAATTTAAACGCACCATTTCTGCCGCCTGCGCACTTCCATCTGAGCAAGCCGCTTGCGTAATATAAGCCTGTGCTCGCACTGTCAGGCCCAGGCCTTCAAGCTCAAGGCTCTAGGGATGATAGTGTTCTTGTTTGGACGGTGACACTAGTTGCCCCGATCGGTGAACACGCTTTCAAAGACGCTGTCACAAACAATGACAAACAATTGACTTGAATCCAGACTTCGACAATCGATCAATCCCTTACTGTCAAGAGTCCCAGGACCGTTCAGTCAGTTCAGTTCAGGAGAAGATCTCTCGAAGATGGCCACCCTTTCGCTGGACGAAGAAGTCAGACTATTCACGAACAATGCTGAGCGAGAGAAGTACAATCTCCTTGGTACCTTGTATGGGATCATCGTCGCACTTGACTACCTCGAGCGCGCCTATGTTCGTGATGCAATTACCGCAGCACAGTATGTTCCCTATCTTAGATTCACTTCATGTCAGACTTAGGAATATATACGCTACAAGAGATACTCTCCTGCGTGCACGCGTCTTCTCTCGCAGTATATGACCATGCTCAAGCTTGTCAAGGATTCCGTTCCTTCCATTGATCAGTTCATGACACGGTATCGGATGGATAACCCTGCCGCGTTACATCGCATACGAGTTGGCGTACCTGCGACTGTTGAACATTCTAGTGAGGCGGGACCTGAGACTGGAAAGTGGATTGCTGAGACGACACAGGTTGGAATCTTGTATTGGAATCTATTCCTTATCTAACCAATAACACAGAATTTTATCACATTCATGGATGCGTTGAAGCTCAGGCTACGCTGCTAAGGATCAACTTCACCCGATCCTGCAAGAACTTGTCACAGGGTATGCTAGGTTCAAGGGAAGCAAGGACTGGGAGGGACGGAGCAAAATGGTCAGCTGGTGCGTACCATTTTCTTGCCCGCCTGCTTTCAATATTTCGGACTCACGTTATCAGGCTTATTACCTTGAACAGCATGAAGGCATCCGAAGAAATCACAGAAGAACAGTCCCGGCAGGTAAGTTCACGACCTTTACTGATGCGCGTGCGCTTCTTGCTGATATCTCCATAGCTTTCATTTGATGTCGAACATGCATATGCCGAATTTTTCAGAAGTCTGAGCAGCGGTAAGGAGAGATCGTAACGAAGGTGGTTATACAGCCCTCGATCATTTAATATCCAGGCGGCTCCGCTTTGTTTTACAAATATGGGGCGCAATCAATGATGTGAAATCGCAGAGCCTTTGAGGACTAAACACATTGTGTCTTGTCGTATACATGTGGCTTCAGTGATTGACGCAGCAAGTGCTGTCCACTAGGACGTATATGATCAAACAACGACATTGGCTGTGCTGTTCCGGTGTACATAGTTCTGATCCTTGAAACGTGATGAACTGATATTAATTCTAGACTTACGTAAAACTTTCACTGATTCTTTACTACAGGTCTAACGATGCAATCGAGTTTTCTGGTGCGGACCACCTCCAGGGTCAGCGCTCCAAGCACTTTTGGTATAGCACATATGCTGAGCAAGGCCTGCGCGCCCCGAAATTCCTCAAATTCAACGAGGTCGAGTTTTAGGAGTTCCTCGGCTCTTCTCGTGCACTCGTCGTCGCGTTTGGCATGTTGAGCGCTGTATTTTCACTACCCACCCTCTCTTCTTCTCCCAGCTCCTAGTGTTCTACTATTCTACTTATGTTTTAGGTTCACACGCATTCACGTTCGGGTCCGTCGCCTATCGTTCCGCTACTAAGGACGCTTTAAGGTCCAATTTCACCGGAATCCCCCGCCTCGGTTAATTCAGAGCTTGCGGCCCCGCGAGGGACATTCGAAGTCCCAGGTACATTAAGTTCGACGGCTATACATATGTGGCACCCTTACTCTCCGGTTCTCTGGTCACGCCTCGCGTGCAATATACCTTTTTCCGCATGTCATCACTTCGTTCAACCTCCCCGGGGTGATATGACCGAGGTTCTTCTGCGATGACGATTTTGTACGAGTCTGGTAAACACCTATTCATCTAGAACAACAATGTACGAAGTCTCACATGTCCTTTAGCGGACAGCGGGTCACCAGGTTGAATTTATCTGGGTGAGTTTTTAGGTCCTCGGACATACTGGACAATCTATTCCATCTCCTCAGCTTAAACCCACGTCTATAATCATAATGAAAATGCTATATATATATATGTGAGGCTTTGCTCATATACTCGCCATTGTGCCACTTCTTACGCATGTAGCTTCGCTATGAGTTCTAGCATTTTTCGATTAGTACCCGGATTGAACTATTGATAATTCGTTAGTCTGTAGGTGGTCGGTGTCGATTTTTGATTCTGTAAATATTCTCAACCATTGTACCAGGGAGTCTGCAGTCAGCGTACAAGACGGAGAGCGTACAGTTACTTCGCCCCCTCTAATCTTAAATCTACCAGCTAATCTGACTTGCCTCCGTCCAGCCGGGGGTTCGTCTGCGATGATCCTCACCTATAGATACTATAAATCATGATCCTGACGCGGCTTTGGTACATATTAATTGTTTAATGCGTTGCCTAGATACTTAGTTCTATTGCTGTGGAGGGTGAGCGTTTCCCGCTAGCAAGTGCTCTAGAGAAGTTGATGATCACTCGCACAGCAATTATTACGTTGATGCGTTTATTTGCAATGTATCGACACTCGAAGATCGTGATCGTACCACTCGTTGCGCTTTTATTTTATGGTGAATTTGCCTGATGGGATCTTGATGTTTCTAGCCGTCAGTGCGAATAAGCAGTAGTTTAAACGGCGAGTGTCTTGCTTTGCATGAGCCGTTGTTCTGAGGAGTAGTGGATATTACAGGTGAACCTATAATTATTTATTTGAATAAGAACCCTTCGATGGGCCTTTATGCGATTATGCCGAGTTACGTTTGGGAGTTCTTCGGATTCGGTCTCACTGCATGTTGTTTCGTCGTGCGGCCCACAGGCGCGAACTCACGGTTCTATTTAAAGATCATGGGGCACGAGACTTATGCAAAATTATCTTCCAATCCTGCTATTAAAGAAGTTAAAAATTTCGCTAATGTCCTGTTCCTTATTCTTGGAATAGTTCCTTAAGGACCGCGTGGCTCATTTACAATGACATCAACCAATTCCTCCTCAACATCTAGTCGTGCCAAGGCTGGTTAGACATGGAAATACCCGAGAACAGGACAGATGTAGAAATGATCGTCTTTGTACTATGTCTAAGAGATGGTCACAAATGCATAAGCGCCTGCATTATGTCATTTTCTTGAGTTGTTCAAATAATTTTGCGCGGGACGATCAGCTTATCTTATCAACTTGGCAATGAGTGGCTGTGCTGCTGTGCCTATATAGTAACAATCCCGGAAACTAATTAATTGACGAGACCTGCGCAGCTGGCTGTGTCTCAACCGTGTATCTCCCGTTCTTGTGCAAAATTTTGGAACGGGCATACGATACATATATATATCTTCCTCCTTCTACGTTCATACTTTTCATTTTCAGAACCGATGTCGCCAACAAACCATTCCCCAACGCAACTAGCAGCTGAGTCCTCGAGCGCTTTTCAGTATGCGTCTGCACCACCACACCCGACAGATCCGATAGGACTTGACGAGGAAATGCCTCCAGCGTACACTCCATCTGCAGACACTTACCATGGAGAAACAACAGTAGAAAGCGGTCCTCGTAGACCCTTCCAACGACCACCGCGACCTAGTCACAGTACACACAGACCCTCACATTCACATTCCTCCTCAGGCTCTCATTCCTATTCATCACATGCCACTTCCTCATCATCGAATTCACAGCCGCTGTCCCCGTCCCAGCAGCATCCGCAGCAGCCACTGTGGACAGTCCCAAGCTCATGGTCTGCACATGCTGGTCAGCAATACCAGTCTCGCCGAGGGGGCGGCCTGGTTGGAGCACTCCTCAGTACAGTGCGCGATGCAGTGGACGCTGTTTCGGGTCTACATGATGAACAGATACGGACCGTGCAGCAGTCCCAAGCAGGCGCCTATGCAGCTCCATATCCAACGTCTTCTTCCTCTGGTATAACCCAGAGCACTCATACACCGTCATACCAGGGGGGTCGAGGCCCAGTTCCTGGAGTGCCTTTGGCGCAGCAGACCCCTCCGCGGGACGTTCCGAATGACGGTAGTCCGACTAGAACGCCTGCACCTGGACACCCATTACTAAACAACGGATACATCCTCGTGTACCCCAATAAGGACTACATGTGTATCAAATGTCAGTGTATTCACATCCTCTCATGTGGCTAACTCACGTCGCTCCATTTTAGGCAAAAATACGGGGTACAAGAACTATGATCCCTCCCACCCTTGCAGGAAGTGCTGGGAGAAATACGGGAAACGTTATACCGGCGCATTGACGTACACATCCTGGAACACCGAGTCGTCATCTCATAACTCCAAGTTTCAGCGTGCTCTACCCAGGTTCACCCCACCGCAGGCATCGCAGCTTTTACTCCAGTCCTCAAGTTACACTGGCCGGCCGCCGCTTGCCGTTCTCCCGCAGGCGCCTACGCCTTACGGCCAGCACCTATACGTACATAACCCTATAATAGGCATGGGTCGAACCCCGCCCGTCCCGTATGCCATTCCTGTGCCCCCAGGTGATCCGCGCCTTGGGGGTCAATTGTGCCAGAAGTGTGGTGGCACGGGAACCCTACCACTCTTGATCATTGACGTCCGACCATGCTCCGTGTGTGGTGGAATCGGACGTAACTTGCGGTAGGTACGTGTATGAGATGCTGATATCAAGGGACATTGGGACGTTGATACGATATACTATTCGACATGGTTGTTGATACTTTCTACTTTCATCTGTACCAGTATGTGCATTCATCACAGCGTACCTTGTCCTCAATCAATTTTCATTTTCTGGCTGGTTACATTACCCGTATTCCCGCGCTCTGGAATAGGAGGGCTTGCTACTCCCGTCATCAAACACGTTCTTCCACCATCCAATATGTATTACGAATGCATCGTGATCACGTACCCTGCCACCTCACAAACACGTCATGATAAGTGATGCATGTGTCATGGTCGTCCCCCATGATATCACCCTGGTTTTGATTTGCATACATAACTAGTTTGACATACTCGGCTGGGATAACGCCCGTTTGACGTAGTACGTGACAATCAGAATCTCTCGTCATAATCAAGCTTCCAACTTGGAACTAGAATGATCTACCAGTTTGGTCATCGCTGGGAGGTCTATAGAGGAAAAGCGACAGAGGCATGGGTGCGCCCACACAACGGTACACGCGCAGGGGTCGACGCAGTGACAACTTGGAGGCGTATCACTTGATCATCTGTCATACCACATGCTCTTTGAAACTATTGGCACAGCTCCATGACAGCGCATAACAAAGCCATCACTCCCCACAGTAAACGGTGATGTAAACAGTTTGTGACTATTCGTCATCTGGGTACAGCATCAACTCAGGGCGTACTGTCTCATTAAACTCCTCGGGTGTCAGGAATCCAAGCGCAACCGTTGCTTCCTTCAGCGTCGTTCCTTCCTTGTGTGCTTTCTTTGCGCACTTGGCTACATCTGCAAAGTATGGTTGACTTCGAGTAAATTCGCACACTTATAATTAGCACGCACTATCATAGCCAAGGTGGCTGTTTAGGATTGTTGCCAGCATCAAACTCTCGTTCAGGAGGTGGTTGATGCGCTTCTCGTTGGCTTGGATACCAGCCACGCAATTCTTTGTGAACGAATGGGAAGCTGACGAGACCAGATGAGCGGGCCAACAAGCGTAGTCTGAGTTATAGATCCCCACCATCAGAAAGAAGACGAATGCTCTGCAACACATTCATAATTATAACGGGTTTGAAGACGTTGAGCTAATTCGAGAAAAGAACAAATCATTAAATGGCAATGTGTCGCATGGAGTACGGATACCTCGAAGTGTCCACTAGCACTAGCAATGCTGACAGTGGTCTGGTTGCCCATCACTTGAGCGGCAACCATAGTCACAGCCTCGCACTGCGTGGGATTGACCTTACCGGGCATGATACTGCTACCAGGTTCGTTCTCGGGGAGAATCAGTTCACCGAAGCCACAGCGAGGACCAGAGCCAAGGAATCGAATGTCATTAGCAATCTTCATCAGAGAACAAGCGATGACATTCAGAGCACCATGAGCCTCGGCAAGAGCGTCGTGACACGCTAGAGCTTCAAACTACGGGTTTCGATCAGAAGTCAGACGAAGTACAAGCTGTGTGATGTCTTACCTTGTTGGGTGCGGTCTGGAATTTCAGGCCTGTAATCTTGGAAATCTCAGCTGCAATCTTCACGTCGAAACCCTTTTTCGTGTTAAGACCCTGCACAAGACTTGAGCGCCTATATTCGTCGGATGTTAGATGGCTCACCGTGCCAACGGCAGTTCCGCCTTGAGCCAGAAAACTTAAGCGAGGAAGAACATCTTTAGCGCGAGCGATGCCATTATCGATTTGCTGGACATATCCGCTGAACTCTTGGCCAAGGGTCAGGGGAGTAGCGTCCTGATAACGATAAGACGGCTTTCGAATTTAAGACCGACCCTTTCATACCTGCAAGTGCGTGCGTCCGATTTTGATAATGTGACCGAATGACTGAACCTTTTCATTAAGCGCATCCCTGAGTTCCGTCAATGCCGGAAGTAGCGAGTGGCTAATTTCAGTCACGGCGGCGACGTGCATAGCTGTTGGGAAGCTACAGTTACCAGTAAATTCGTTAAAGTAAGCATTCCTCGCGTGGAAACTCACGTATCGTTACTACTCTGGCTCATGTTAACATGATCATTGGGATGGACTGGTTTCTTGGAACCGAGTTCGCCGCCAAGAAGTTCTATCGCACGATTCGAAATCACCTGTTAACCAACGAGGTAAAGCTAGCGATCACTCAAATGTTTGATATGCTCACCTCGTTTACATTCATGTTGGTTTGAGTTCCACTTCCAGTCTGGAAGACAACCAAAGGGAAGTGGTCCATGAGCTTCCCGGAAATGACCTGAAGAAAAGCTTAATTCGACACACACATCCGAAGCTCAGGATGCAATCTCTCACATCATCAGCTGCTTTCTGGATGGCTTCGCCTATTTTATGATCTAGGCCATAGCTGATATTAACGATGGATGCTGCCTTCTTCACCACGCCGAAGGCCTTGATTAGGGGAGGCGGTAGCCGTTGTGAGGGACCGCCGATGTCGAAGTTTTGTAGCGACCTGGGGGAAAGGCTGAGTAATTAAGTATGCACATCAGATCAAATATGCACACCGCTGTGTCTGTGCTCCCCAATAACGATCGGCTGGGACCTGGAGCTCACCGAAGGTATCACGCTCAGTGCGGAAGGACTGGTTGGACTGATATAGTGATCACTTCAGTCCGCCTCTGCTGAGTGGGATAAGTTAACTCACCATGACAAGACGTAATACGTAGTTGGAGCCCTGGTCTCTTCACATAGAGGAGCTGTTACTTAAGTAATAGGATGATCCGGAAGGAACCGGCTACGACCGGGTACTGTAGTACCATTCCCCCCTATCACGCGTCCCAACTTGCAAGCCAACTCAGACTTGCGATTCTGACCATATAGAAGGCGTTTGTACCCCCTTAATCTGGGCACTCATTTCGATGCTTCTGCGAACAGTATCGAAATGTAAGTTTTGCCCGCACGTGCGATAAGGGATGCTGCATTCCATGTACTTATGGGCGGAGGGTTCTGCTCTTTCATTTGTGTATTTGGTTTTGGCTTGCTTTTCACCATCCACTACTCGCACCAGGCGAACACGGCCACGCTATACCGAACCATCCCAGCACTCAGTCAACGCGCCAGCACGAAGAAATTCGGGATCCATCACATCCATCCGGGTTCCTTTTTCCTGTGGATGCCCGAAATTACAGTCTATCCATGGAGCTTGTCCTACAATATTTGGGGTTCTGACTGCTGACACAGCACGCTGAAAAGCACCCACTGCATTTTTGATAGCTGGGAAGGTGTAGACTAGATGAGCATGCAAAAATGATGCTAAAAATCATCATTATCATCCCTTACATGTTCGTGTTATGATCTCGCTGCTTCAGCAGGCTGAAGTCGAGCATTACAAATGCAGAGGTGAAGGTTCGTGTTGTTGGCAAAACTGAACTCCAAGGCGAGTTCGCATCGGGGTTTGTCCCAACCTGCAAAGTACGCCCCGCCACCATGACTAGCATAAGTACTACATTGAACTCGTTGCTAATGAGAATCTACTCCACTGGCACAGCGTCAGCAGACAAATTTGCGGGAGCGACGCAGGTGGAGAGTGGGGGCTCCAGGAGTAGTAAGCGCGACGTTGCGAACATTGGCATGGGAGAAGATGATGGGCAGGGGGACGACGTGCTCACGTATGAACGTCCTAGGATAGATATTTTCAAAGCGACTTTTGCGAGTGATGGTGAGGATAGCGACGAGGAGAAGGATCGTATGGACCATGTTGATGAGGTGGACGAGCCACCTGCTGCCTGTGCCAGCCGGGCTATCTAAACCAGGCCCGAATGTCAAGCCACTGCCAACGACCGGTATCATGGAAGATGTTGATCTGGCTACGATCAAGCCTACCTTCATACCCAGGGGATCCAAACCGAAGGACGCGGAGAAGAAGGAAAAGAAAAACAAGAAACAGAAGGGTTCTAAGGGTGGCGTGCCTGTTTCCTTTGATGTAGACGAGGATGGCGGAGAGTCATTATCGCTCACTGCTGCGCGTCAAAAACACCGAGATCGGGATGACGAGAGGTCGAGGAAGAAGAAACTGAAGGATTGGGAGGGGGATGGAAGTGAGGATATGTGGGTTGAGAATCCTCTACCAGATATCATGAAGGCCCTGCCTATCACTGATGTGTCCCCTGGTGAAGGCAGTCAGGTTAGTGGACAGGAAAGCGGATCTCCTCGAGGCTCGTAAGAGGGCAATTGATTTCATGTAGCGCTATATACAGGTTCAAATTTAAAAGTTAATGTTTTCAGAGTAGCTGCGTCCCCTGTAACACTTTACCATGATGTAAGTATCACCATCGACTGCACTATCGCCATTGGATGGAGGAGATATATTCGGGAAGGTGTGGAAACACGAATCGGAGGCATGTACACAGTGCAGTGGAGGAAGGTGGTTGGTTGGTTAGTTACCGGTTATGACTCGTAGGGAGCGTTCTTGCTGGAACGGAGGTGAACTAGTACCTCAGGCTCGTGTCTTAGACGTCTATGTAAACGAATTAGGTTACGGTGGTGAATCAGGCACAATACACGCACCTCTGCAGCTTAGAGAAAAACACCCACGATCCCTTGACCGTGGTCAACACCATCAACCTCCCGGTAAAATGCCACAGCTCATTACAAGCACCACACCCATTCGAACTTTTGAAGATCACAAGGGGACCGTAAGGGAAATCGCAGTTTTTCCCGATAAGCGACGAATGGTTACGAGCTCGGATGACAAGACACTTCGTCTTTGGGACTTGGAGACAGGTGTTGTGTTGAACAAGATGGAGGGGCATAGCAGTTGGGTACATGCATTGGCGGTATCACGAAATGGTCAAATAATAGCAAGCGGTGATATAAAGGGAGAAATCATTCCCTGGCACGGTGAAACTGGTCAATCTCTCACCCAACCCATCAAAGCCCACTCCAGTAACATCACCTCGGTGGATTTTTCTCCGGATGGTGCGGTGCTGGCTACTGGTTCAAAGGACGGAACGATGAAGTTTTGGTGTACCACAACGCGGACAGTTGCAAGGAAAACCAATCGGGTGTGGTTATGTCAACTGCGTTCGATATTCGCCTTCTGGTGAACTTCTTGCCATCGCAACACACCTCAATATCCAAATTTATAATCCAGGCACGAGCGAACGTGTCGCATCTTTTGGGGATGACACATTATTGACCTTGTCACTCGCGTGGACGCCTGATGGCACACGCCTTCTTTCAGGAGGCAACAAAGACGATCCTACCATACGAGAGTGGGATCCATTGACCTGGAAGCAGGTCGGTCATCCTTGGGAAGGCCACACTAGCCATATCAACGCCATTGCCATTCATCCCTCTGGCACCCTCGTCGCTTCTGCATCTTATGACAAGCATGTCCGTCTCTGGCGGCTCTTAGATCGACGAACCATCGCCATCTTCCAGCATTCATCCCCGCAGGCATCTGTCATTTTCTCCTCGGACGGCAAGCACATCCTCGGTGGAGGCGTAGATCAAAAGATCTCAGAGTGGGCAGTACCCAGCAACGCTAATTCAAAGGCGAGTTTTTATCTTTGACCCTCATAACATAATTCGAGCATGCTTCGTGCAGATCCTGGATGTCACGATAGCCCACGATGCATGCATAACTGGAGACCTGGACACTGCCGAGGAGTTACTCACCCAAGAGATCCGCACCGACGCCAATAAGTATACTTCATATGCCCATCGCTCACTCATTCTGTCTCGAAACCACGCCTGGGATCTCGCCCTTGATGATGCAATCAAGGTGAGTTGTACTGACCCATCATGACTCTCTTACTAAAGGCTTGCTTTCATCCGTGACATAGTCCATCAGCATTCGGCCCTCATTGGCAGGTTACATCTCCAAAGGCATCGCCCTCTGCGGCAAAGGCCACGTCATGGAGGCAAGGGCAGCATTCGACGTCGCATCCATGTTCACGAATCAAGATTCGAACACCAACCATTTTCTCATCTTGATCAAGGTAACTTCAATTTGTCTCGCACATTCTCCGCTTCATTGCGTGTTTCAGGCGATCGCCCTCTTCAACGCAGATCAACACGAGGAAGCAATGTTGCTCATCGAAGAGCTGACTGCCGCTTGTCTGGATACTGATTCTCTCGTGCGTCGTGTCGTGGAAGTATGTGTCATGCGACTACGCTTGGTCATCGACGCTGATCTTTGCAACTCGCACATTAGACATGTCTACGCGTTCAGCTCGGAATCAATGCCTTGGATGGCGTGCGTCGTGACGAAGCTGTTAATCACTTCACTGTTGCTGTCAACTCAGGCGCTCTCTCATCAAAAACCATTCATTTTATATACGAGGACTTGACTGTGGTGCGTCAAGATGATGCATACATAGTGCTTTTATAACTGAATGCTTTCTCCAGCTTTTCGGCTGGGATCTCATGTCTTTGTGTCTCATTGCCCACCAGAAACGGTGCCAGGCACTTCTTTCGGTAGGTAAACCTGATGAGACCCTCGAAGCACACAAATATATGATGGGCGCCATCGACGAATCTACAAAGGTCAGCTGCCTGGACTGGTCCAACGGCAAGTGTAGAGTCCGCGGTGTCATCTAGACTACAGTCCTCACCTATATTTCACTCAGCTTTCAAGCGAGAATGCTTGGCGCTCTGTAATACCAACGGAAATGCCGCACTCACTGCGAGCGATTATGACAAGGCCATTGACCTATACTCGGCCGCAATCAGCCTGAATCCTGGGTCTGATACTCTCTTTGCAAACCGTAGTAAGGCAAAGTTGGGTAAGATGCTATGGATGGAAGCACTTCTCGATGCGCAGAAGGTGCGATGGCGTCTATCGTCTCATATCTAGTGCTCATTGTGGCGATACATAGGTCATTGAACTTGACTCTTTATCTTATCTTGGATTACAATTTGAAGTACACAGCGCTTCATGGTGCACGACGCTACGGTGAAGCAATCCAGACCGTCGAAACGTTATTCTCCAAATTGGATGATGCACCCGACGTTCAGACACGAAGTAAGCCTTTGAATAATACATTCGTCAACATGTTTAATTCTTTCTCTAGAGCTGCGCCAGCAGTATCTCAGACCTTTCCGAGGTAGAACGTGCCATTCAACGGGTCATTGATGCCCGACTCGACAACGCTCCGCTCCGTGTACTCGACACCACCAGCGGTCTCTTATACGATCGAGGGGCGCAGATCAGCGCCTTCAAAATGAGCATAGAATATAAGGAGCTTGTGTCATCAACAATCACGCGTCTAGAGCTCCCCATGAAGCGCGTCGAAGAGGTGGTGATGACGTACTTCCAGTATGCCACGCTATCACACAGGTGGGAGGGGAAGGAGCCGCTGTTGCAGGATATTCAGGGCAAGAGCGTGTATGACCCGGAGTTGGATTTGGTTGGTGGCATGACGAAATTGCGGTCCTTCTGCAAAACTACTCATGATGCGGGTTATAACTGGGCATGGAGCGATACATGCTGCATCGATCAGAGCAACAACGTTGAACTCCAAGAATCGGTTAACTCCATGTTCGTCTGGTATCTCCACTCAGCGCTCACGATCATCTACCTGTCGGATGTTCCGCCTTCGTCGAAGTCTGGTGCACTGGCAAAGAGCGCTTGGAACACGCGCGGATGGACGGTTCAAGAATTCATCGCTCCAAAAGTCATTCTCTTTTATCAGAACAATTGGACCCTTTATCTTAATGATCGCACTCCCAACCACAAAGAGTTCGTCGCAATCATGCAGGAGTTGAAGGACGCGACGGGCATAGACCCACCAGCCGTTGCGGCCTTTCGTCCCAGCATGAGTGGCGCCAGAGAGAAACTCCATTGGGTGTCAACCCGCGTTACCACGCGTCAGGAAGACATCGCATACTCGTTGTTTGGCATCTTTGGTGTCCGCCTGGCTGTAGATTATGGCGAGAAGCAGGACAAGGCTCTCGGGCGGCTCCTGCAGGAGATTGTGGCTCGGTCGGGTGACATCACGGGCCTCGATTGGGTCGGAAAATCATCAGAGTTCAACAGCTGTCTACCAGCCTCCATCACTTCATATGAAGCTCCACCATGCAGGCTACCACCCCTACTCGAAGATGACATTCAGTCATCGGTTTCATTGCTGCAAAAGACGGTGACTGTGGATTTCGCTTTGAACCTTTATACCCGGCTTTACGACGTGAGCGCCCCTCGCTTCGCAGCACAGAGACTGCACCTGCCTTGTATTGCATTCAATGTCAGGGAAGTCAGACGGGTGCGTAGTCCAGCCCCAGAGAGTCTGTTCAGGTATCGAGTGAAGGCAGACGGGCTTCGCGACTTGCTTATCACCACCGAAGAGACCCTGGTTCAGTTCTGGCCGGCAAGGCCCACCGAGCAAAAATTTGTGCTTGTCCGTCCCTGGGATCGGTCTCTCCTCGAGCTACCTGACTTTGCAGAACCGCCTGAATTTGTGGAACCGTCTGACTTTGGACATGATGCGGAAAGCGAGGAGGATTATTTCACGCCACCCTCTTCCCCGTCAGACGCCTGGTCCAGCAGTTCTCTTGTAAAACGAGAAGTGGCTGACCGAGAATCACGAGCATTGCGGTTACTTGTTCGCCTTGGGCAGCCTTTCGGTGCATTTTTGCTAGCGCAGCAGGGCAGTGTAGAATACAAGAGGATCGCGTCGGACCATCATATCATTGGGCAGGTCGACGACGTGGTTTCTGTTGGAGACTTGATGGACATCAGGACCATAGAAATATTGTAGTCGTATGTTTTTTGTCTCAAAGTTTATGGATTTCTGAGCGGTTTGCATTCATGCCTTAAGGATGGTATTCGTACAGTATACGCATCATATACATATGCATGTGTATCGGACTAAAGTCTCGTCACTTCCTTACTTGCAACTTGAATCATATCTGAGAAACCCGTGGCGGAGGACCTTCAGTCACTAGCTCTTTTGCGCGCATGTGGGATATTCAGTTTGCAAATACTAGATGTGCCACAAGATTATCCCAAACACGTTTGGGAGAGGGAGAAAGCTAATTCAAAAGATAAAGAGAATGCAGCTATCCCTCCTCCGTCACAAACTCAGTTGCACGGAAACAGGCATCTCTGCGAGCCAGGTTTGACAAAATTCATTTTCTACAGATCTTACGTGCTTACATGTTATAGACAGCGGGGAGCAGCGCTCGGTGGAACGCCCTACCTTCTGCACCCAGGTCCATCGTCGAGTACATCTCCAGAAAGACCAAGAACGCATTCAGAACATCACTGCAAGTCGCTTTGGCCCCCTGTCCACGTCGGGTGATTCCTCGCCAGGTCCCTCAATCCCCACGCCTCCCAGGATCACACACGCCGAGCTCCACGTCGCCCAAGCTGCTCTCCACGGTTTTAGCCCTTTATGACCGATCCCTCTAAGCAGACAAGGTACGCTGCCTATCTCCGCGCACGCAAATCCTGGCTCAGGCGCAATTCCACCCGCACAGAAGCCTGGGCAGACACCCGAGGAGTTCGCAAAAGAGATAAGCAATTATGCAAAGTCAGCTGCATTATTCCTCACCGTTTGTAGAGCCATGGCTGGGTGATTTACGATTGCCGCTGTTCTAGATCTCGGGCCTGCACAAGCCTGCTGCACAGCCAGAAGAGGCGGCGGACAGTATGGATGTGGCAGAGGAGAAGCCGAAGGAAGAAATCAAGGAAGAAGCCCCGAAGGTGCATGCTGCTCGACTGGGCATGTATGGTGTTATGACGCGCGAGGTGTGTACGTGGCAGCCTGTGCGACTGCTGTGCAAGCGCTTTGGCGTCAAGGACCCGGTTCTGGCGGTCCCTGTCGACACCTCTGGGTCGTCGGCGGAGGTTATGGAGCCTGAGTTCACAGCACAGCGTCAGCAGACGAATTCACGGGGGCAAGTGCGGGAGCGACAAGTGGAGAATGGGCGCTCTGGGAGTAGCAAGCGCGATGTTGCGAATATTGGCATGGGCAGGGAGATGATGTGCTCATGTATGAACGTCCCGGGATGGATATTTTTTAAAGCATTTGTTTGCGAGCGATGAATGAGAATAGCGACGAGGAGAAGGATCGCATGGGCAATATTGATGAGGTGGACGAGTCCCCTGCCGTCCTCTGCAACCGTCCAAACCAGGCCCAGATGTCAAGCCACCACCAGCGAATGGTATCGTAAAAGATGTTGACCTGGCTACGTTCAAGCCTACCTTCATACCCAGGGGGTCTAAACCGAAAGACACAGAGAAGAAGGAAAAGAAACCAAGAAACAGAAGAATTCAAAGGGTGGTGCGCTTGCTTCCCTTGATGTAGATGAAGATGGCGCAGAGTCATTGTCGCTCACTGCTGCGCGTCAAAAACAACCGAGATCAGGATGGCGAGAGGTCGAGGAAGAAGAAACGGAAGGATCGAGAAGGAAATGTAAGTGAGGATATGCGGGTTGAAAACCCTTCACCGGATATCGCGAAGGCACTCCTATAACTGACGTGTCCTCTGATGAGGCAGGTCAGGATAGTGGACAGGAAAGTGAACCTCCTCGAGGCTCGTAAGAGGGTAACTGATTTCATGTAGTGCTATATACATGTTCAAATTCAAAAGTTAATGTTTCCCGAGTAGCTGTGTTCCTTGTAACGCTTCACCATGATGTAAGTATTGCCATCGATGTGCGGGTAACATCGACTGCACTATGGCCATTGGATGGAGGGGATATATTCTGGGAGCTGTGAAAACACAAGTCGGAGGCATGCACACAGTGCAGTCGATGAAAGCGGTTATGACTCGTAGGGAGAATTCTTGCTGGAACGGGGGCGACCTACCTCGTGTGACGTGTCTTGGGCGTCTATGGAACCGAATTAGGTTAGGGTGGTGAATCAGCATAAAAACGAATGATACACGCACCTCTACAGAGAAAGACACCCCACAGTCCCTCGACCCCTCCCAGTAAAATGCCGCAGGTCATTACAAGCACCACGCCCATTCGAACTTTTGAAGATCATGAGGGGGGCGTAAGCGCAGTCGTAGTTTTCCCCGATAAGCGACAAATGATTACGGGCTCTGCCGCCGACAAGACACTTCGTCTTTGGACTTGGAGACAGGTGTTGTGTTGAAGAAGATGAAGGGGTATCCCACTGGGGCGCGCGCATTGTCGGTATCAACCAAATGGTCAAATAATAGCAAGTGATTATGGCGGAGAAATCATTACCTACCACGGTGAAACTAGTGAAACTCTCACCCAACCCATCGAAGCCCACACCAATTGGATCAACTCGGTGGATTTTTCTCCGGATGGTGCGGTGCTGGCTACTGGTTCAAAGGACGATAGGGTGAAGTTTTGGTGTACCAAAACGTGGCAGATGCAAGGAGAACCAATCTACTGTGGTTCTATTGTCAACTGCGTTCGATATTCGCCTTCTGGTGAACTTCTTGCCATCGCAACATTCCATAACATCAAAATTTATAATCCAGGCGCAAGGGAACAGGTCGCATCTTTTGGGAATCGTAGCTTGTCACTCACGTGGACGCTCGATGGCACACGTCTTCTTTCAGGAGGCAACATTCGCGATCCTACCATACGAGAGTGGGATCCATTATTAACCTGGCAGCAGGTCGGTCAGCCCTGGAAAGGCCATACTGACAATATCAACGTCATTGCCATTCATCCCGCTGGCACCCTCGTCGCTTCTGCATCTTCTGACCACCATGTCCGTCTCTGGCGGCTCTCAGATCGACAAACCATCGCCATCTTCCAGCATTCATCCCCGCTGGGATCTGCCACTTTCTCCTCTGACGGCAAGCACATCCTCAGCGGAGGCCAAGATAACAAGATCTCAGAGTGGGCAGCACCCAGCAACGCTAATTCAAAGGCGAGTTTCCATCTTTGACCCTCATAACACAATTCGAGCCTCCTTCGTGCAGATCCTGGATATCACGATAGCCCGCGATGCATGTATAACTGGAGACCTGGACACTGCTGAAGAGTTACTCACCGAAGAGATCCACACCGATGCCAACGACTATTACTTCTTATGCCCATCGCTCATTCATTCTGGCTCGAAAACACGCCTGGGACCTCGCCCTTGATGATGCAATCAAGGTGAGTTATGCTGACCCATTGTGACTCTCTTACTAAAGGCTTACTTTCATTCGTGACATAGTCCATCGGCATTCAACCCTCATTGACAGGTTACATCTCAAAGGGTATCGCCCTCTGCGGAAAAGGCCACATCCGGGACGCTAGGATAGCATTCGACGTCGCATCCATGTTCACCAACCAAGATTCGAACACCAACCATTTTCTTATCCTGATCAAGGTAACTTTAATTTGTATCGCATATTCTCTGCCTCATTGCGTGTTTCAGGCATCGCCCTCTTCAGCGCAGGTCAACACGAGGAAGCAATGTTGCTCATCAAGAGCTGACTGCCGCTCGTCCGAATACCGATCCTCTCGGGCGTCGTGTCGTGGAGGTAAGTGTCATGCGACTACGCTTGGCCATCGATGCTGATATCTGCAACTCGCTCATTAGACATATATGCGCGTTCGGCTGGAATCAATGCATTGGATGGCGCGCGTCACGACGAAGCCGCTGATCACTTCACTGCCGCTGTCAACTCGGGGCGCTTTCTCATCAAAATTCATACCTCAAACATACGAGGACTTGACTGTGGTGCGTCAAGATGATGCATACATGGTACTTTTCATAACTGAATATTTTGTCCAGCTCTTCGGCTGGGATCTCGGGTCTTTGTGTCTCACTGCCCACCAGACACGGTGCCAAGCACTCCTTTTGGCAGGTAAACCCGATGAAGCCCTTGAAGCACACAAATATATGATAAGCGCCATCGACGAATCTACAAAGGCCAGCTGCCTGGATTGGTCAAATGGCAAGTCCGGAGTCCGTGATAATATCTAGACTGGAATCCTCACCCATACTTCATTCAGCTTTCAAGCAAGAATGCAGCGCGCCCTGTGCTGCCGGTGGAGATGCCGCCCTCACTGCGAGCGATTATGACAGGGCTATTGACCTATACTCGGCCGCAATCAATCTGAATCCTGGGTCTGATACTCTCTTTGCAAATCGTAGTAAGGCAAAGTTGGGTAAGAAGCTATGGATGGAAGCACTTCTCGATGCGCAGAAGGTGCGTTGGCATCTATCATTTCATAATCCATGCTCATTGCGGCGATACATAGGTCATTGAACTTGACTCTTTATCTTATCTTGGATACAATCTGAAGCATGCAGCGCTTCATGGTGCACAACGTTATGATGAAGCGATACAGACCGTCGAAACGATGTTCTCCAAATTGGATGATGCGCCCGACGTTCAGACACGAAGTAAGCCTTTGAATAACACATTCGCCAACATGTTTAATTCTTTCTCCAGAGCTGCGCCAGCAGTATCTCAGACCTTCTGAGGTAGAACGTGCTATCCGACGGGTCATCGATGCCCGACTCGACAATGCTCCACTCCGTGTACTCGACACTATCACCGGTCTCTCATGCGATCGAGAGGCGCAGATAAGTGCCTTCAAAATGAGCATAGATTATAAGAGGCTTGTGTCATCAACAATCACGCATCCAGACCTCCCCATGAAGCGCATCGAAGAAGTGGTGATGACGTATTTCCAATATGCCGCGCTATCACACAGGTGGGAAGGGAAGGAGCCATTGCTGCAGGATATCCAGGGCAGGAGCGTGTATGACTCGGAATTGGATCCGGTTGGCGGCATGACGAAGTTGCGGTCCTTCTGCAACACCGCTCGTGATGCGGGGTATAACTGGGCATGGAGCGATACATGCTGCATCGATAAGGGCAACAACATCGAACTCCAGGAATCGGTTAACTCCATGTTCGTCTGGTATCTCCACTCCGCGCTCACAATTGTCTACCTGTCGGATGTTCCACCATCGTCAAAGTCTGGCGCACTGGCAAAGAGCACTTGGAACACGCGCGGATGGACGGTTCAAGAATTATCGCTCCCAAAGTCATTCTCTTTTATCAGAACAATTGGACCCTTTATCTTAATGATCGCACTCCCAACCACAAAGAGTCCGTCGCAATCATGCAGGAGTTGAAGGATGCGACGGGCATAGACCCACCAGCCGTTGCGGCCTTCCGTCCCAGCATGAGTGGACGCCAGAGAGAAACTCCATTGGGCGTCAACCCGCGTTACCACTCGTCAGGAAGACAGTCGCATACTCGTTGTTTGGCATCTTTGGCGTCCGCCTGGCTGTAGATTATGGCGAGAAGCAGGACAAGGCTCTCGGGCGGCTCCTGCAGGAAGATTGTGGCTCGGTCAGGGTGACATCACCGGCCTCGATTGGGTCGGAAAATCATCAGAGTTCAACAGCTGTCTACCAGCCTCCATCACTTCATACGAAGCTCCACCATGCATGCTACCACCCCTACTCGAAGGATGAAATTCCAGTCCTCGGTTTCATTGCTGCGAAAGACGGTGGCTGTGGATTTCGCTTCGACCCTTTATACCCGGCTTTGCGACGTGAGGGCCCCTCGCTTCGCAGCACAGAGACTGCGCCTTGCCTTGTATTGCATTCAATGTCAGGGAAGTCAGACGGGTGCGTAGTCCAGCCCCAGAGACTCTGTTGAGGTATAGAGTGAAGGCAGACGGGCTTCGCGACTTGCTTATCACCACCGAAGAGATCCTGGTTCAGTTCTGGCCGGCAAGGCCCACCGAGCAAAAATTTGTGCTTGTCCGTCCCTGGGATCGGTCTCTCCTCGAGCTACCTGACTTTGCAGAACCGCCTGAATTTGTGGAGCCGTCTGACTTTGGAAATGATGCGGAGAGCGAGGAGGATTATGAGACGCCACCTTCTTCTCCGTCAGACGATTGGTCCAGTGGTTCTCCTGTAAATCAGAAGGTGGTTGACCTGGAATCACGAGCATTGCGGTTGCTTGTTCGCCTTGGGCAGCCTTTCTGCGCATTTTTGCTATCGCAGCAGCGCAGTGTAGAATTCAAGAGGATCGCGTCGGACCATCATATCATTGGGCAGGTCGACGACGTGGTTTCTGTTGGAGACTTGATGGACATTAGGACCATAGAAATACTGTAGTCGTATGTTTTTTGTTTCGAAGTTTATAGATTTCTGAGCGGCTTGCATTCATGCTTTAAAGATGATACTCGTACAGCATACGTATTATATATGCATGTGTATTGGACTGAAGTAAGTCTTGTCAAGAACGCAACTATACTTCGTGTGAAAAATTGACGGTCATGTGGGTGAGACTTGCAGTCTCGCCTAAGACTGTAAACGTGACACGTGACTGCTCAGCCACAGCGCTCCCTTCCATCTTGGGCTCGATTTCCAATCGCGCTCCACCTGGACCTCGACCACCTGTGATCAACGACACGGATCGCAAGACAGGCTGAAACGGACGAGTGCCGCCGTCGTCTGTCGAAGAACTGCCATTTTTGGGCATGATCGGACGTTCTTTACAATATCCTTCTCGTGCGTCCACATCTTCTTTTCGGCACTCACTGATCCGCTCACATCTGATCCGCCTCATCTCCCTACCCCATCAGATCACATCAAATATCAATATCAACAACCTAAGCTAAGGTCTCAACTGCCTCTAAGGCACCTGCAAAGACTACTGACAGGCCCTAACAAGGTGTTGAGGCAGGTCCACCCCAATACGGTATCTCCAACGAGCCATGGCCATCCTCAACTCATTTGTCAACGAGACAGGGCTAACAAGGTGTTGAGGCAGGTCCACCCCGATACCGGTATCTCCAACAAGGCCATGGCCATCCCTCAATTGTTTTGTCAACGATCTATGGTACACCCCTCCCTCCTCTCATGAGTCCCTGCCTCAAAGGCACCCGCAAAGACTACTGACATGTTGTGGCAGGTCCACCCCAATACAGGTATCTTTAACAAGGCCATGGCCTCCTCAACTCGTTTGTCAATGATACGATATATTGGTACGTTCTCCCCTTCTTCTTCGTCGAGTCCTGCCTCAAAGGCACCTACAAAGACTACTGACATGTTGAGGCAGGTCCACCCGATACAGGTATCTCCAACAAGGCCATGGCCATCTCCTCAACTCATTTGTCAACGATATCTTCAGGTGATCAGTGCTTCTTCTCTGGTTTATTCCTACAGCGCTCACTGGCTTCTCTTGTCTATTCCTACCAGCTTCTCTGGTTTATTCCTACCAGCGCTCTGTGGCTTCTCTGGTTTATTCCTACCAGCGCTGTGGCTTCTCTGGTTTATTCCTACCAGCTTCTCTTGCCTATTCCTACCAGCGCTCTATGGCTTCTCTGGTTTATTCCTACCAGCTTCTCTCGTCTATTCCTACCAGCCCTCTGTGGCTTCTCTTGTTTATTCCTACCAGCTTCTCTCGTCTCCTATTCCTACCAGCGCTCTATGGCTTCTCTGGTTTATTCCTACCAGCTTCTCTCATCTATTCCTACCAGCCCTCTGTGGCTTCTCTTGTTTATTCCTACCAGCCCTCTGTGGCTTCTCTTGTCTATTCCTACCAGCGTTCACTGGCTTCTCTTGTTTATTCCTACCAGCCCTCTGTGGCTTCTCTTGTTTATTCCTACCAGCACTTGCTGGCTTCTCTTGTATATTCATCCAGCCCTCTGTGGCTTCTCTTGTATATTCGTCCAGCCCTCTGTGGCTTCTCTTGTATATTCGTTGGATTGGCGACTGGCATGAGAAGTTTCAAACCAGAGCTGACATTCATAGTGATAGGTAAATAGTGAACCTGCAAGGATTGCAGGCCTGCTAAAGTATGGTACTTAATTAAGACTTTGATGTACTATAGAAGTTTGTATACAAGCAAAAGAAATCGAAGATCAAGAGCGCTACTGAGAGGAGGATTGAACACTTGAGATGTCTGGCCGTGTTGCGAGAAGTTCACGCCATTTTCTTTGCAATGGCGTCATCCTTGCGCAATAGATATGTTTTGCTACCCTTGGCATAGCGGAATGCACCCCGAGCCAATGAGTGGTCAAGATTTCCACCAAAAAATATGCGTGCATTATTTGCATCTTGAGCTGCTGCTGCAGTCCGCTGCTCTGCGATGCAGTTAAGGATTTGCTGATAAGAAAACTTCTTGCTGTTTCCGTCGCTGAATGCACACCAGAAGGAGGCAGTATCTGGATAACGCTGGTGCTCCTCGGCAATAAACTAGACGAAGAAGAAGGTTTGGATTAATCAAGACAGTGGCGCTGAAGTGGTCATACCTTCCAATTTCCCCACTCGACCCTTAGAGCATCCCAAGCTGTTGTTTTGGCGCCCTTTGCTCTCTTGTAGAACTCACCCCAGTATTTCACAGGAATTCCACGACCACCCACATGAAGCAAGTTTGAACTCTCCCACTCCTTGCACAACCTATCAATATCCTTCGAAAGGTGAATTGTCGGCGGCTCTGGGACCCGTGTTTTGTCGTACTCGAACCGTTCATCACCAAGCAGAGCAACTCTGAGTTTAGCTGAGGGGATGGACTGCTGAGGTACAGTGCCAAAATCCAAATGGGGCGAACTGACTGGCTGACTTGACAATGGCAGTACTGCAGTAGTTGTACAAGCAGATTGACCCATAGGCTGTGCTTGGTGGGAATGTGGTTCTCGCGAATCGGAGACAGTGCGGAGCAGCCGACCAACGACTTCACATCCATGACATGAGCGGTCACATTGTTGATACTACCTTCGATGTTATATATGTCATCTCTGACTGACTGTATATTGTTCTCGACTCTCTGCATGCGCACGGCAAACGACTCCTACATAAGTCAGCAGGTGGTAATGTCATGTTTTCTTGAAAAATTGATAAACGATCTACCTGTTCATGCAGGGAACCACACCCTGTCAGCTCTGAGTCTGCCAGCACTTCAGGAGTCTGTTGGGCCGGTTCTATCTGTGTCCGTCTGTGTTTTGGAAGGGCCGGCGCACAGCTAAAGTCAGTTGGCATTCTGAATGCCGAGAAGACGGCTGTAGCCTGCATGACAGATGCACAGTAGCAGTGAGCAATACCTTCTTTCTCATTCTCAGCACAGATCTCACCCATGATGTGTTTGCAGTGCGATCTTTCTCACTTAGAGCACGTTGAGTACGGTCCGCACTCTTCTTGCTCTTGTAAGTGAGAGTCGGTGGTGCTGCTCCAAATGTATCCTCGACCCGCTTCCGGGACAATGTTTTGCGAGAGGTATGTTCTCCTCGCTTTCGCTTCAGTTTCGGCTGAAACAAGCTATGATGCTCATGGGTCAATGACAGGTACTGTACAATTTGGATGCTGCGTACCTCAGCCATTCATTCTCGTCTTCAGAGAATGCTCGAAGGCGCTGCAACACCTCCTCTCGGTTACCGCTGACTGGCCTTCCGTACTGTTTGAGTTTCTCTCATACATCGGCCTTTGTCGTTCTTTGGGTTCTGTCTGTAAGCAGGTTCAATTAATGTGTCAGTACATTGTGCACATCTTAGGGGCTGAATTTGCTTACACCAGGAATTGGTAGGTGGTGAGCGGTGTTCCGGGTGTGTATTCCTGGCCGAGGACTGGTAGGCAGAGTATTTCTTCTCCGTCACCGCATTCCGGCATGATTTTGCTCAGGGAGAGTAAGGTGTGTCAAATGGTAGCTCTCGCTGTTAAATTCAAATTGAACCAAACTTATATCGGAAGCATCCGCACATGGACTTGTCTGAGTCGTCTCACACCTACACTTATTTTTTGCTATGTCTCTAGCTCGACTGAAGGGCGCCACTGCTTATCTCGTCGACTCCCAAGGCATTAGTACTGAAGCCGCAGCTGAAGACCAAGACGAGGAGGTAGAGTCCCTCCTCAATAGCTTTGACGTTGACAATCAGGCTGCCTGTGGCACACTGCGCATCAGTACAAATGAAGCTGACACCCTGCCATCGAAACATAAAAGGATGGCTACCACTGTCCCAGCGCACCATGACCAACTATCAGCGAGCCTTGAGACAGCCTCGGCAGGTGTCATCGTTGACACCACTCTTTCTGACTATCAGCGGTACGTGACATATTCTCTCTGCAGCCCTTGTTAACACGCAGCGCAGGTACTGGAACCAATTCAAGGAATTTTGTGTAACTATAAACAAGGGTTGTGTCGGCTGATGATGTCGACGGCCTCTATCCTGATCTTCCTACTGACTTTCCCATTGGATCACTGTAGAGACTCGCGTTTCTGCAGGCACATAATGGGCTCATTTACGATTCTGATGACTGGCCTTTACTGCCGACTCGCACTATCATCACCTCTAGTCATTCCCTATAGAGGCGCACCACCTTCCCGCGAAATGCGCCTAGGTGCGACACTTCCCGCACAATGCACAGTATTCCTGCGTGCGCGCCCCTTGCGCACTTTCTTGGCTTAAGCGCCCTGCATCACCAATCATTCCAGGAGCATCCATCCATTGTCCAAACCAGTCCCTTGGTATGTCCCTTTTCGTTATCTGACCATATTTGGCATATTACACTTCCCATTTCGTCATGGACCCTTACTTTACATCACTTTACATCACTTACATACTTAGAGCGCTCCCTATTCGGCTCCGAGCCCTGGGAGAGCGCTTAGGTAGAACTTACATACTTTCATGTTCGTTTTACACCCAACTATTCCACCTTACCTTCCTACCACTCAGTATCTATCATCAGTTAGTTCCATGCAATGCATGTGTCCTTCATCATCTTGAGGCCCTAGCATCAGTCTATAGCTAGTGGCACTGTCAGTATCCGTCTAGATCCGCGCTTTTCCTCTTATCAGTCTCAGTATCCATCTTCTACACTTGTGCACCGCTTGCACTACCTTCCCGCGCTCCGCGCACCTTCGCACTTCGCTTTCCTGCGCGCGCCTTCAGCGCATTTCACCGCCATTCACCAGGGTTGTTCAGCATCATTCCGTGGATCCTTGCTTTCCTTGCTTCCCCTTTAGGGTCGAACGTTCTTGCATTCTGCGAGTATAGCAGCTAGGCAGAGCTGAGACTCACTTATACTGGCTGAGCACTTTCTTATATGTGCCTGCCAGGTTGTGATACCCACATCGCACTCTGGATAATGGACAAGTAAGTTGTGCTATATGGACCTCATGCTGTGCATGACTGACTCAGAGTTTGCAGATGCAACGAAAACGATATCTGGACCGGTAAGGCAAAGCCTCCAAATGTCCCGCATGCGACATATGGCACTGCACAGAAGATGCGAGCTGCCGTGAGCCACAAGTTTGGTCGTGACCACAAGCTTGGCACACAACCGTGGTCAGAACATCCAACAATCCCTGGAAAGCACATCGGAAACCCATCACTCTCAGTCACGGTCTCACAATACATGGTTAGTCTTCGTCGAAGAAAGGTAAGTGTTCTGTACATCTCCCGTCACAACTGTGACTAACATTATTTGTTAGGTACGGTCTGGAGAGGCTGTTGAGAGCGAGAGCCATGGATGAAGCAACTATGAAGCATCTGTGGGATTTTCTCTGGGCAACACCACGCAAAGAGTATGGGCCAACATCTCGCAAGCGAAAGGCTGAAAACCCAGCAGAGTGGGCAGGGTTCGTGATCCGCAGTATGCTCCTGCTACTTTATTTAGTGTCAATGATCTGTCTCCTGCGCTATGATGAGGCCCTGTGGATTACTTGGGCGGATATCACATTCCAAGTCAAGGACAACTCAGTTAAAGGAAACTGGCTTGACGCTTCCACCGAACTATTACTTCAGGGCGAGGGCTTCCGACCTGCTGACTTCCATGTGAGACTCGAACTACCATTCAGAAAAACCCATCAATATGGAGGTGCGTTGCTTGATGACTATGCATGACACATCGGAGCTGACCAGCAACTGTACAGGGATAGCACCGTTTTATGTGTATGCTGATGAGCAACGTCCGTGGATGTGTTTGGTGCGAACGTTTGCAGTCTGGTGGATGTTAGCGAGGGAGAGGTGTGAGAATCTCGATGGGTTTATTTTTTGGAAGAAAATCGGTACCGACAGTATTAGCGTGAATCCCACAGACGGCATGGTAAGTGTCCTGTGCTTCTTGGCACTGCTTCTGATTTATATGGCCTAGACCTCTGATGCATTCCTCGAGTGTTTTTGCAATAACCTCCTGGATATTGGCGTGGACCCACGTCCTTATGGTACTCACTCCTTCCGACGAGGCAGATGTCAATTCTTATACAAGGTATGCAGATGGGACTTTGGGGACATCTGTGATTGGGGAGGATGGGCCGAAAATTTTGACAATCCAGGTACGATCTTCAAGTACCTGCTGTCGTGGAATGACAATCCTCGGGAGAAGCGAGAGCACTATATGAATCCTAACAGGCCAAGGAAGACCCTTGCCATGCTTGTGGTAGAACCTGTCATTGTGCTTGAGACTGTACTACATACACTGCATAGTAATCATACATTTTGATGTGAGGTAATGAAACGTTAATGAAATGGTAATGAAACAATAATGAAACGGTACAAGTGTGAGAGCAGACAAATGTAAAAGATTTGCAGAATAATGACATACAATTACATTATGATACTAGAGGAAACGTACACAGTCAGATAGTAAGGTCAATGATTTTGGTGTCTGGACCTTGACCAGTGAGATCAATAGTACAACTCACCACATCTCCTTCACTTTGTGTGAGGTCGATGATATCAGCAGATGTTGTGGTGGCCATGGGGACATCAGGAGTAGATGGCTCGAGATTATGGTCCTGGTGTGTTGTAAGGTCAGTTGGATCTTTCACATGAGAATTAGAAGGCCCTGGAGGCAGTGGGACCATTGTTTGCACCCAGGAGTCATATATCCGGTCTGTGAGCCACACCCGAATATACTTGCTGCTTTGTAATGTCTCGTTGTCTCGACTAGTAGAGCCTCCAGTCAGCCCATCGAGCAGCTGGAGTGTGGCTCGCTCCAGATCACAGACAGGTACATCGTTATTGTGTCCCGCAATCCCTGCAAGCACTTTCTTAGGGCGCCTAGCATGGCATTGAAACACGGCCCTCGTGCAGCAAGGGGCAAGATCGTTCTGGACACAGTATGCATCAGGGTAACATAGAATGAGTAGGGAAGAAGAAACACACCTCGTTACTTGTTGGCGAATTGTTGGCGAGGTCCTCGAGCAATTCATGTAATACAATGACAGGCCAGATAGTGGAACGAAACGCGCTGATGAGTTTTTTCAGCTCCCAGCCCAGGAGTTGTTGGATGACCAAGGCCAGTGGAGCAAGATCAGGCGGGGCCGGAGATTGCACAGCAGGCAACTCTGCAAGCAGGGTGACAGCAGGTTGCGCATACAGATTGATGACATTGGGATCAGGGAACGACTCAGCGAGCGAGTGGGCCAGTGCAGGATGAGCTCGGCCTAGTTTACCTGTGGGATCATCTGTAAGGTGATACCGAGCAGCATCCCGCCACTGTTTCAGTGCCTGGTCCAGTGGGATACCATCATGTGCCAATATGCTGGTGTTCATGCAGTGAACGAGACGAAGGGCAGTCTCAGGGCCACAGCCAGCAAGACCCATCTGATGAAGACGTCGGTGAGAAGAGTCATCTGCAGGATAGTTAACCTGCCTTATCATAGTCACCGCCACAGCAGATAGTCATCGTCACAAAGGCATCACCAACAAGGCAGTGTTCCACATGCTCCTGAATAGTGCTTGTGGTGTACATCTTGACGGTTGCGTCAGGTGAGAATGTTGAGCTAAGAAAAAAACCCCGCTTAAAAGCTGCCCGCACAAAAAAAAAAGAAACACTTGCTTCCGAAGGACTGTCTTAGCTCCGAAGACGAAGATGTCACTGTCATCCGTCATGACAGCATTGATAATTCCGGCATTGTTCATCAATGCTAGCTGCACTTCAGCTTCACCTGCAGCCTAAGACGGCAGAAAATGACATTGACAGCAAGAACAGAGGAAAAGACAGACAACGCACAGTGATCCATTGTGTGTTGAAAGCGTTCAGGATGCATTGCATGGGCTTGACCATCCAATGGTCCCTTGTAGACACGCGGCGCCCTCTTTTGACCTCTGGCCGCTGGTCACCATCATAACAGAAGATAAGTTGCACTGGGAAGCGTGCAAGCCGAGCCAGGCGAAATAAAAAGGTGCAGAGCACAGGGTTCATTCCAGTTTGAGCATGCGCACGTTGCCACTTTCCTTGTTGGCACTGTTTGAACCATCCGCTGCACTCATAATTTTAGCATCCCAACAGACACCCAACATTGTGATCATGTACCTTGCATCAATGCCCACAACATAGGGCAAGTGAGGGGCAGGTCCTGTAAATCGATTCGAGAGGGCGAGGGACATGATGGGTACCGTCGTCACAGCAGGGTCAAGCACCTGTGAAGCCAGAGCATGAGGTCTCTGTCATGTGAAAAAGGGTGGTACATAGTACATACCTCCCATAGATGATTGATGCCCATTGTGGTGCCAGTGCCAGAGAAGGACGAGCTGAAGCTGTTGTATGTCCAAGAGAGAAGGCTGTGTACTGTGGCCGGTGGGATGTGACAGTGATGAGAAGAGGAGGATGAGGAAGAGGAGGAACAATGTGGTAGGGCATAGTACTCACCTATATTATAAATCGGGTGGCTATGCTGTCAGCATAGCCACCATGACTGCAAAGCCGAGGACTGTCAATTTGCAGTCCATCAGCGTGATGGTCAGAATTTTTGCGCAGAGAAAGACACGCACTCACCAAAACCTCAGCACCATCCAGATGGTAGATTGACGGTCAGACGTGGGAAATTTGCAGTCAGTTTGGCATGTTGCGCTTCTGCTCACCTTAGTACTGCTAATCCAGGTCCCCACCTCACCCAGCAGCAGCTGGAGCTCGTCCGAGGCTCAAAAAATTCTCATTTTTTCTGTCTACGATGTCGATCACTCATCCTCCGTCCCTCCACATGATCTGTTCCAGTCTTGGACAACAGATGATGCTGCTGGCTGGGGTCGTGTCCTTCTCTTCTTACTCAGTTTAGGTGGGCGCATGGCGTGGTGGTGGTGCCATCTTTGTCAGCCTGTGCTGGACCGTCAATTTGCAGGTGATCAGTGCTTCTTCCTCTGTCACAAACTCAGTCGCACAGAAACAAGCATCTCTGCAAGCCAGATTTGACAAAATTCATTTTCTACAGATCTTACATTGCTTACATGTTATAGGACAGCGGGGAGCAGCGCTCGGTGAGACACCCCTCCCTTCTGCACCCAGGTCCATCTTCGAGTACATCTCGAGGAAAGACCAAGAACACATCGAGAACATCGCCGCAAGCCGCTTTGCCCCCCTTTCCATGTCGGATGATCCCTTGCCAGGTCCCTCAATCCCTACTGCCTCCCACGATCACACACACTGAGCCCCATGTCGCACAAGCTGCCCTATATGGATTTTGAACCCTTTATGACCGATCCCTCTAAGCAGACAAGATACGCTGCCTATCTCCGTGCATGCAAATCCTGGCTCAGGCGCAATTCTACCCGCACAGAAGCCCGGGCAGACACCCGAGGAGTTCGCAAAAGAGATAAGCAGTTATGCAAAGTCAGCTGCATTATTCCGGCCCATTTCTGGAGCCATGGCTTGGTGGTTTACGAGTGCCACTGTTCTGGATTGAGGGCCTGCACACGCCTGCTGCACAACCAAAAGTCGGGGCGGACAGTATGGATGTGACGGAGGAGACACCGAGGGAGGAAGTCAAGGAAGAAGCTCCAAAGGCGCATACTGCTCGACTGCGTATGTATGGTGCTGTGATGTGCGAGGTGTGTACCTGGCAACCTGCACGTCTGCTGTGCAAGTGCTTTGAGGTCAAGGTCCCAGTTCTGGGGGTCCCTGTTGATACATCTGGGCTGTCAGCGCACATTTGGTGCTTGAATTCACAAGTACAGCATCAGCGGACGAATTCGTGGCCCTTGGCAGCACTTTTGCCCTGTTCTCACAGTCTGTTAGACCCGGTTTAACTGTAGGACGAAACCTATCTCTGAGACCTACCTCTCCGCAGAGTCTCCTGTCTACATCCTCAAGAGGTACAAGAGCATCCTCCTGGCCCTCGATGGTATCCTGGTGGACCTCACCAGGCAACCATCCATTTCACATGGAGGGTTGTCTGTACTAGTATGAAATTAAGCTTGAGGCTCCTGTACCCTTTGTCAGCCCTCCAATATCAAGCTTGAGGCTCCCATATCCTTCGTGAGGCTCCCATATCTCTCGTCAGCCCTCCAATATTGAGGCTCCCATATCCCACATCAGCCCTCCAATATTAAGCTTGAGGCTCCCATATCCTTCGTGATGCTCCCATATCCCTCGTCAGCCCTCCGACATTAAGCTTGAGGCTCGCATGTCCTTCATCAGCCCTCGGGAAAGCCTCTGACATTTCATATGTTATCCACTCTTACATACCATGTAGTTATGTTTTCATTTAGCTTATGTTATTCCAAGAATTTCGCGGAGGAGCTGCTATACTGATATTGACAAAAATGAGTTACAAAGTGTAGTAGATACCAACGTAGAGTGGGGTGGGGTATAACACGCGGGTGCAAGACAACAAGTGAGAATGAAGTAGCATGAGATAACGAGGTTGGAATTAACTGGCAGGAGGAGGCCTCAGGGGGTTGGGCAAATCACGATTCAATGCCTGTGACACAGCATCGTGGTCATAGTCAAAATGAGAGGTCGTCATCCATCCACCTCAAATCCTGGAATCTCCTGTTAGGACCCTCACGATAATTGCCCCCACCAACCTGACGATTGTGATAGGGGGATAGTGAATCCCCGCGCTCTTCAAGGTCATCGCGTCGGGGGTATCCACCTTCATGTGTATAGCTTGAGTCGACAACAGGACTATATTGGCTTGGATGGGGACGATCACGCTCAGTGGGACCATAGTTATTGTGAAATCCTGGAACAGGTGAGCTGTCATGATGAGCACCCAACTCAATTTCTGCACGAGTGCCAGCAGATCCATAACTGATCCTGAGGAGGACCATAACGAGAGCGAGAATCAGCGAGGGTAGAATGCATCGCGGGGGTGGAGAGTGTCATGGTCAAGGTTACGTGCAACCTCATGAGAGTAGCCACGAGTGTAATGAGAGTCATACCGGTGTAGACCCTCGCGAGAATTGCCGTGTGTAGCGTAACGAGAATCATACTGAGCAGTATCCCTATGATCATGAGGGTCACAGGCGGGCAGTGTCACTGTTGGTTGCGAATGACACCTCGAGTGTCATCATAATGGAGAGGGTCGCGTAGAGGCTCACGACCACCTCGAGGGTCACGGAAAGGGTAGTGCAGAGGGTCGCAGGAGAGGGTGGTGCAGAGGGTCATGGAGAGGGTGGTGCAGAGGGTCATGGAGAGGGTGGTGCAGAGGGTCATCACGAATGGTACCACAAATGTCGTCATCATGGTGGAGGTCACGAGAGTCGTACAAAGGGTCCTCACGAGGGGCATTGTTGTCGTTAGAGGTATTGTGGGCATGAGGGACATCGCTAAGTGGCTGCTGGTTTGGAATGGTGGGGGCCACTGCATTCAACAAGGTGGCCGGAACTAATGCTTCCTGCTCCGTCACCTGTGCGGAGTCTTCCTCCGAGACATCGGCTTGGACATCGGCAGTAGTACCAGAGCCCTCAGGAATGGTACTACCCATTCCAGTGGCAGGGTCCATCGTCTTGCTGCTGTTGACCTCAGATTCAGAGTCTGAGTTCCCATACACCATACGAAGACCACAATTCATCACAACCCCAGTACCCTTGGTGACCGGACAGTGGTTTAACACGTTCTAGAACATCAAAAGTAGATTAATCTATGCAATGAATAAAACAAACCAAAAAACACACCTTTCTTGGGTTCCTCAGAAGGTCCATCTCGAAGGCGCACTGCTTGATCTATCAAATAGCGTAAAAAAAATAGTAGGTTGAGAGTGAACGGTACTTACTATGTTCTGGGGATGGGAGATCATTGCTGGATGATCCCACCGTCAATGGGGAGAGCGGTCCACCCTTAGTGGGAGAGGTCCGTAGATGGTACCTTGGACTTGGGTCCTACGTTCTTACCCCTGCACCGCTTTCTTCATCGCATTAGTCTTCTCTGTGGACGGGGCAATCTTCTTTGATGCATGTATGTGTCGACCAGCTTAATCTTCCTCTTCTTTCCATGCTCTGTTTCTTCATACTCAGTCCCGGGCTCTTCCAGGAGGTTCTCTTTGGCAGATGTAAGTTCAATCACATCCCTTGGAGTTGCAATTGGCCTGGGAACAACCTTGAAAGGGCGTGATGGCGGAGGGACAACTTCAAGACGCATGTTGGAGTTGGGCTTTTGGGCCATCGCTCGAGGTAGGGGCTTGAGCATTGAAGTTCCAGCTGGCTCGTCTGATTCAGACTTGGTGAGTGGTGAAAGCAGGTGAAGGGAACTTGGGAGCTTTGGTACCCTTCCTGACTTTCGTGGTTGCAGCGCTGAACTTGATGCGAGGAAGACCGTCATAATCAGTGTTGCCATTAATGAACATTCGTCGGGCACCAGCATGCAACCATTCAGGCGGAGGTGCTTCACCTTCGATAACAGGTTTCTGAGATGCAATCACAGCCGCTGTAAATGATGTAAGTATGATGTTTTTACTGTGATCTAGTCTATACGTACCTCAATCCTTACTGGCAAATTTGGACGACGCGCATAGTACCTGCCTTCAGAGAGTCAACCAGTGTGCTTATTTCCCTCTGTGTCAGCACTCCACAATGCCTTTGTTCACCCCAGGTTTGCTGTGAGCCTCGCCAGGCAAGAGACATTTATGTGTGGGATAATCTTTGATACAAAGATTAGCTTCTACAAGTGCGGCTGGCATGAGCTTCCAAGGGAATATCTTTCCAGTTTTTTTGCCGCCAAGGTTGACTGGTGAGGCACAGAACACATTAGTTGAAATGAGGAGGTCTCAGAGCTGATAATGATTGAATGTACCAATTTGCCAGTCAATTTCTTGCTTAAGCCATTTCAAAGGAGTCATCTCGTCGCCCCTCCACAACATCGGAAGACTGGTCTATGTCGTTAGTTCGGGCCTGATGTTGAATCTTCACATCTATGGTCATCAATGTCTGGAAACGCTTCTTCAACCACAGGATAGGGATGTAGCATTACTAGTTGGGACAACATAAGCATTACGTAGCATCATTATGAAAAAGTAACTTCAGCTTACTATACATGGGCTTTTAGATGACCTATCATCACATCATCGCTGGCACAGCATCATGTCTCCCAGAACTATTACTTGTTGAGTACAAGTTTGAATTTGAACGGCAAATGACTTACCCCTGCAGCACTGGGTGTGTTGTAGCAATGGCTGAGCGATCCGTCCTCATTGACGAACTTTGCCGCATATCACAATGGCTGCTTCAAATCCGAACCTAGCAGAGCCAGACTCGAGCTACCCCAAAAAAATCAGCTAAATGGTAGACACTTCTGCTGAGATTATGTACAAGGCTTGACACACTTCGGTAGTGTTTTTGGAATGCCTGTGCGCGCTGAGCTATAGTTTGGGGAGACGATCCAAAGAGAGATGCTTCTTCATGCCTTGACAAGATATCTTGATAGGTGTCAGGAAAGGCCAGTCTTGAATTTCTCGTAGCATTCCCTGCGCACAGTTGCACCTGTGAGGGATATGAGTATATCACACTGTATTCTCATATGTACTTACTTGGCAGTGCCACCACTGTCAGGCACCTGTTTACTAATACGTGCGAGCTCCTGCTGCCCGTGATCCTTGAAATAATTGGCATAAAGGTTCCAATAGTTGGTGCCATTCACAGTGCGTCCTCGAGTCTTCAGAAATAGATTGATTAGCTGGTTCATGGGGAGAGTGGTGGATGTCGAGAGCTCGAGGAAGCCACACTCGATGTCTCCAAACCCGACCTCGAGTGCTGCATTCATATCATCTGACCTGCGACCGGTTACAACGTGCTCCCCTTGGTGGGTGATCGGCTCGCTCTCTTCAGGGAATCGATTGTGGGAGGTCATAGGCGTATTATAGTACCCTGCGTCCAACATCAAACTGGGATCTCTCGTCAAAGGAAGGAGGAGCATTAGTGGCGCTGGTTGAAGTGTGTTTGGGACTAATACCACTCTCCTTGAGTGGGGTGGGTGGAATGACATTTGTAGCTGGTAGAGGGGATGGTACAAGACCTTGAAGTGGTACAGATGGTACAGGACGTAACATGAACGCTGAACTCTGCCCAGAAAATTCCTGCAGTGACACCAGGAGAGCGTTGGCCTGCAGGGTCAAGTGAACACCCACGAGGCATCATGGATTGACCAGATGAACTGGGAAAATTAAAAGTAGTCTGAGAAGGCAGATGTGCATTGGGCGCAGACGGTGCACCCCATAGTGACTTGTCAGCCACTCCAACCATGCCTAGAGTCAATTCTCCCAGAAATCCAGCTGGGAAATGATCGGCGCCCATCATACCAAAATCAGGGGAATTTTGCTGCATCCAAGGCGGTTGCATCATCATAGAGTTGTAGAACAGATCCTGCAGTGGTGCAGGAGCTTGTGGTGGAGGAAGGGGTGAGGGGTGCTGACTGTTGGCCATGTTGAGCATAAGCAATGATGTTTCACTTGTCGAAAGCACCATCCTGGTGGAAAGCATCGGACTGAGCAGACACAGGAACCTGAGCCTCTGCAGAAGGCTGGTGATGGGCCTGGCGACAGGCAGATGCCCCTTTTATGACACCAGTGTCCCGTGCAGTGGCCTTAATTTTAGTCCTAAGTCGTGAGGGCGTCAGCTCGACGGGCGGTTGTTCATATCAGCAACCTCCACCAAACTGTTCCTCGGTGTAGTCAAAGGAAGCAGTAGATGTGTCGAATATAACTAGGAGATGCTTGTTGGTCGACAACAGAAGAATTATCGGTGATTTTCTGGGTCATGTCTGTAGTTGAATTCAATAATAGAACGAGCTTTGGTGCAGGTATACTTACCTTGACACAATGGTAGAGAGCAAAAAAAATATTGAAACGAGCAGACTCAAAGAACCTGGAACCAATAGAACTGCATGAGCGAGGATAGAAATTCAACTAAGTCATTCCTTACCAGGTACCAGTGATACAGAAAATGTCAAGCGATTTTTTTTTTTGATGTTGTTGAGCTGATATTCGAGCGCATTGTGAGTACAGACATCATATAAAGTAGCATCACCAGAGGGTGTTGCCTACCTAGTCAGGGGTATGACATGGCGAGGGTGAGGTTGAAATGGTCTGTCTGTTGGGCAGATTGTGTGAGATAGTAAATATCGGGGGATACTGAAGGCAGAAAAGCACCCAAAAGGCCCCATACTTATGAGGTGTATTTTGGTAGGTGTGGGGTCCTGTTTGCGAGATGACTGTCCACCCTTTCATTCTGAGCTAAAAGAATTAGAACTGCAACTATTAGTACTAAAGCGAAACTCAAAACATTCAGAAACTGCTTACGAAGTCTGAGGAGGGTGCAAGATTTACAATTGTGATGGTGTAGGTCTTGCAAGGCTCCAGAGAGGGTTGCATACAAGTGACTAATGATACTGTAACAAGGAAGCAATGAGATTGAAAATAAATCTAGTACTGAGTTTGAAATGCACTGATTAAGGCCTGGCTCTAAAGCAAGGCACTGCATATAATCCCATAAGGCCAATGTTTGACATGATATGGGGCTCGACCTACCCAGTGAAAAACCTACTGTTCTGAGAATGGCTGAGGTTGCAGTGAAATGGTCTAAACTAAGTGATACAATCTCAATATATGATAATGTAGATTACAGGCATACGGCTACAATAAAATACAACCGCTAGATGCTGCTGCTGCTGTCCATTTCAGTCCCCCAGCTTGTTCTGGCCCTTGCTAGCCCCGCTCATTCCCACAGACCTTGTAGCACTGGGCTGCCAGCAGATGATCAAGATCAGAAACGGTGAGGTCATAAAAAGTCAGAGAGCACGCTACCTGACATAGAAGTACCAGCATGATTTCCATCAACTCCATTCATGGAAGTAGTATGAGGGGGAGAGGACTACTGCACTACAGTAGGCAAACTTGGGGATGCGATCTTCCCAACAACCGTTCGCAGAAGCAGTAGGCGAACTTGGTGATCCAATCTTCCCAATGACCATTCGTGGAAGTAGTATGAGGGGGAGAGGACTACTGTACTACAGTAGGTGAACTTGGGGGATGCATCTTCCCAACAACTGCTTGTGGAAGCCATAGGAGGGGGGGAGGCACTACAGTAGGCAAACTTGGGATGCGATCTTCCCAACAACCGTTCGTGGAAGTAGTACAAGGGAGAGAGAACTACTGTACTGCAGTAGGCGAACTTGGGGATGCAATCTTCCCAACGACTGTTTGTGGAAGCAGTGCGAGGGTGAAAAAACTACTGCACTACAGTAGGTGAACTTTGGGATGCAATCTTCAACGACTGTTTGTGAAAGCCATATGAGGGGGGGGAGGACTACTGCACTACAGTAGGTGAACTTGGGGATGTGATCTTCCCAACAACCGTTCGTGTAAGCAGTAGGCGAACTTGGGGATGCAATCTTCCCAATGACCAGAGGACAGATGCACATTTGCAAGATGGCTGATGGCGGTTGCTTTGCTTTGACTGTACCTGCATGGATATAAGCACACCATTTAGTATCAGAATGCCCGGAGGGAGGGGGGACGCACAAGTGGCCAACAGCAGCATTAAAAAATTAAGCAAGTGTGGTCTGAAATGAGTGAAGCACTCGCAACTTGCGCAAGTGCCAGTGTTGCTCTTGTTGATCAAGATGAGGACAAAGCGGTTGAGTGGCATAAGGTGAACATACCATAATTTCACAGATATAACCAATAGCCTGCAAGGTGGCAATCTTCATAGGTAAGGTCGGTCCCTGTCCGAGTGTGAGAGAGGGGAGGGAGAAAGAGGTATTGGGGAATTGCAGCCATAATACGGTTGTGACATGTTTGTCATGCAGTCGCAGGCACATCACGACCGTGTTACAGCCGCATCACAATAGCATCTGTGACATTAGTCAACCAATGAGATTTAAAATACAAATAGTACTTAGTTTCAAAGACATATATGCACACATTGGCAGCTAATTAAGCTGTCTGAATTGGCATCATCGACTCTAATAACATGCCCCATCAAGCTCATACAAAATTTTTGATAAGAACATCATCAATGGTGACCATATTGTATTTTGACAAGCAAGTAGCAGTACAGCAGTGTGATCTTTGTATTGGCTTTGGTTGACCTAAAGGAATTGTTCACTTACTCTAACCATGGGTCGCTGAGCGAAGTATTTCACATCAGAAGACAAAACGGCAGCCACTCAACGATACACACATGCTTATTTACATTCAGAACAGTAAGGATGTTTCAGCAGATTGTCATTTCAATATCATTGACACATTTTTACAGAGGCAAAATCGTACGACAAGCTCAAAACGCTCGTGCTTATGCCAAATGTCATGGTCGACGTGGACCTCAAACAGCACCCAAGGATCTACTGAACCTTCCAGCATGTTCCATCTCACAACTGCACCACTCTTCCTCTTCCTATTCCTATATTTTCAACAATCACTCATTGGTTCTGACTTGATTGACGGTTCAGATCTCTCCCAGTGGGATAAACCCCTGCCTTATGATCATCCACCTCCACCCGATTCTCCAGAAGAAGAGCGCTTCACACAGAATTTGTTCCACGTTATGCACGGACACCTTTTGCGTTTGGAAAGGGAATCTTATGCTCGTCGTGCAGCCAGGTATGGTGCAGGAGAAATAGCCAAGCTTTTGAAGGAGCTTCAAGATGCTCAGAGGAGGCTGAAAGAAGGCTGGGACGAGCTGAATAGTTGTGTTACTAACATGCAGGCTTGTGCAAGACACAAGCTTATGGCTCAATGCCACTGCCAGGGGGTAGCACGAAGAATATTGACTTATCAAACGGAGCTAGATTTACTAGTCGCTAAGCAGAATCCATTCTGTCACAGTAGTCTATGATACTCGCTAATGTGTTCTACCTTACTCTGGGTTCATATTGGTAAATCAGTAATGAAAGAACCATAGTCCGAAGATAATGCCAGAGATTGTCGATGTTTTGCTCACGTATTCCTGTAATATGTCTGCCCTGGACAACAGCTAAAACTGTAGCTAAAACCCATATGCCACAGTCAAATTCATTATTCTGAAGACATTGAACCTAAAACAATAGTTATAGATGGGAACAAGATGGAGCGTGATGCTTACGTTCAGAGGTAGAGCAACCCACCCTTCAAGGTCGATTGTAACACGATGTTCATGTTGTCGTGCAATGGCCAGGAACCGAGCAATCAGTCTCATTATATCCTGTGCAGTTTAATCAACCGAAAATATATTTTGAATTTTAACTCACTTTAACATCATTTTCCCAAGGCTGCCTATTGCCCAGGCTATCAAAAAGAAAAAGTTTCTTGTGGGACAGCTGAATGATGCAAAGCACCCAGTGCCCAATGCCTGATGGCCGATGAATTGGAAGCACCCATATGTCCTTTTCCCAATAACGAACCCATGACGTGTTGCGCCAGATAATATCATCCGGCGCGTTGTAGCGAACACGAGGAAGATCATGAGTTGAAAGCATTGCGCACTGTGCACCCGATGTGAGGAGCTGAGAGTGCCACAAAAGTATGGCGCAGCTGTTGATGCATACGTCATTCAGGTGTGCTGTGGGAGAACTAAGAAAACCGATGTCCCGAGGGTCAAATATCTGACTTGGGATCCCATCATTCGAGCTTGGTCGTATCCGGGCGACAATTTTGCCAGGAATGAGAACACCTGGCTCCTGTGTTGGAATGCGCAATGGAGGGCTGAAATTATCAACAAGAAGGTTCTAATATGATATGTCAGTGCAACATTCTTTACAATGAATTTTAATATACCTGAGGAACATCCCAACAAATTATGGTGTTGGCTTCGTGCCCATAAGCTGTTGAGTCATCATCCTCTGACTTCAGCGCGCTCATCTGACCCTCTAGAACATCAGCAACTGCGACATTTTCGGAATTGATTGCTGGGAAATGGTCAGCGTCAACAGGGTATTCATCCTCACTCTCATAATCTGGTACTGCAAGTGTGCTAGCATTATTGCTGTGTTGTGATGTGCTCCGTGTGGCTCCCAAGAGGATTGTAGCAATGTCTACCGCTTTGTCAACCTGGCTAGCCAAGAGTGTCGAGGAAGTTAATGAATTTGACCATCGAGTTTGAAGTCTGAGAAAGTTGTCATGCCGTTGCTGTAACGGAACAGTATATGGTTCATCTGAAATTAAATCAGACATTAGCAGAAGGTCACATCAGAAGGATGAAATTAACTCCCTTTCTGGTAAATGAAGAGTAAGTTCGAGCGCTGCCAACTCATCACCAAAGAAACGAGAAAGATTATCAGCTTCAATGTTGAGGCGAATCTGCTCCTCCTCGCATCGATCTCGCTTCAGAAGCGCACATATACCATCCCTCACATGGGGGTCCTCCAATCATTGCGGAACGTCTCCAATGGATGGCATAATCCAAACGTCTTTCATCAATTTTGGGTCACTGCGAAGTTCTGTCAGTTTTGTGGGAAGAGGGGCGGGCAGTGGAATTCCCCAAGTTGGATTGTAGAGATACTCAAGTTGTTCGCAGTAAGAGTTGAATTTGCGAATAGCGGTCATCAGAGCGGGTTGACGCTTTGCGATGGCTTTACGGGTATGTTGATGTAACTTAGTGCCTGCAGGGAATTAAGAAAGTATATCAATAAAAATGATTGACATTACCTAAAGCCTGCTGGGCACCACCAACAGCACTGGTCAAGCTTGTCCCACTCAAAAAAACTAGCAATGGCACAGTTTGCGAACATTCATCTTGAGATCCCTGCGCCATTAAGAGAATGCGAACAAAATCAAGATGGACCCCTTGAAGTTCAGGGAACCTCTGGTGAACATTGAGAGACTGAGTAAAGAGCTTCGACTTTATTCATTACCCGGGCATGTCCTCTCTCGAGGCTCTCGAGGGCCTCTAATGTGTTGTCAGAGGCTGATTCTTTCTGGAGCAGTTGCTCGGGTAGTCTGTAGGGCCCTATCTGATGCGTCCAGGTCAGCCTGGAGGACCAATACAGTGTCTAGTTCTTTCCTCAGATGAGCAGGAGCATCTAGCGATAACACATATCAACATTGACGAGGCTCTAATGAATTGGACTCACGGGCACAGATAGATAATTGAGAACGGTGCTGGTGGAACCACTCAGTCTTAACTCATCGACAGGAATCCCACATCGTTCTAGCATATCTTGCGCTGCTGAATCCTTGCTCCTTGATTCCCCATCTAAGCCGGTGCTTAATCCAATCACCAAGGTCACTTCGTATCTCTGACCCTATAGCTGCTGCTTGGCGATCAATAAGCCACAAGCGGCGCTGGTGCTACAAATTCAGAGTGAATGAGGGCATCATTAGAATAATGTGAGACTTACAGAAGAATTCCTCTCAACACCAATCAGCCGAACAAAGCGCAACCAAAGTTGTTCGGTTCCTTCCCCGTCGGACAAGCCTAGCCCAAGGGACATCCGCGGATTGTAAACGAGCTGGCAAGCCCACTCATGACCATATGTGTGCATTGCAGTAGTTGCAAAACGGAGACGTGAGGTGATAGTCTCGGGAAGGATATCATACTAAATAGGTGTAAGTGAGTGATTAAAATGTGGGATCTCAGCGTACCTTTGTGAGTGATCGGGCCAGAACACAACCAACATCATAGAGGGCAATGACAGTGGCCTCAGGTGGGAGCAATGAAAATAAGTGTTGAATGAGGGCTACAGAATACTTTTGTTGTTCTCCTGGTGAATCGATATTAGCAAAGAACAATGGGATGTCATGGCGACATATTAGAGCCATGATCCCTGTATCATCAAAATTATCCATGGCAGCTTTCTGCTTTTTACCATCAGTGGCCTCATAAGCAGTTTCAGCATTGATCGACGGCTTTGTCAGGAACAACAGGAGTATGAATCTTTTGGGGCTGCTTGCCATATGGCATCTATCCGGCTGACCAATGGCAGTCAACGAAGTGTTTTGGGATAAAGTAAGTGGGATCATAAAATTGTGGACAATCACCAGCTGCACGGTGATGATGATGATGAAAATTCCCATCCATCGCAACATGTATATCGCCCCCTTCATCGGTTGGCCTACCATGTAGTGTGCCACCAAAGCAGGCGGGACATCGTTGGACCAGAAGAGATGTGCACCGACTCTGAATGCAAGGTGGGTGGAGCGATGTTGTTGTCGTGCAAAGAGGTTTGAAAATCGGCCACGCAATCGCGACTTTGTTGCACAATTGTTTCCAGTTGTCGTTCAACTTGAATTTGCAAAATATCAAACCACTGGACGGCATAGCCAAGTCCCCGACGAAATGGGTCTTGAATAAGTTGACCCTTCGAAAGTTCATCAGTAGTAATTCGAGTATGTAATTAAACCTTACCTTTGTATCGGTCATGTAGAAGCCTTGCCAAGAGTAGTGATTTTTTAGTGCTGATGTGAGAGCGTTGATGGCATCACATGAGCATTCAAACAGCGCACGGTAGAATGAAAGCAAATCAATAGACACAGCCATTCGAGGCTGTGAAGGCGCAGTTGGGAATAGACGTGGTGCACAAGTACTTGAGGGAGAGTCGAGCATTCACAACTTAGTACAGTCTATTGATGCGAATCCTATACAAGTGTCAATGCAAGCCTTCTGTGATAGAGAAAGATACACTTACAGTCGAAAAACAAGCAAATCAAAGTTGTTCACTTTGATCTACATGAAGGCATCCCAGCACACGCAGATATGACTGGGTGGATGTTTTCTAAGGCTTTCCCTTGCGTACATCCAAAATAGCGTAGTAGAGGAGTGATGAGAGCTGGTATGAGTGTACTCCAGTTACTATACAGCGCAGTAGTCGATCTATCTGGAGCAATGCATCGTTTGACTGGTGTGTCAATGGACAGAACATCGAGAGACGCTCCCTCCACTATCTCCACATCGTCAAAGGAAAGTGCCGTGGCATCATCAATGTGTTCAATGTGTTCAGCGGTATCACTGTGTGATGCTTGAGAAGTCACCTGCAAGTTTTGTTCTTGACATTGCGGCTTCATAAGTTCCTCCATTTCAACTAAAAGTTGGCAGGCGCTTCAGCCTTCGCGCCTGGTAGGCTCAACGAATGTTTGCGTTTTCCGCTTGTCTCGAGCTTTTCTAGGACTGACAAAGTGGTTTCCTAGTCCAGAAGACGTGAGTTGAGCTTTGCTGAGTAGGACAGGGTGGTTCGACTGACAACATAGTGAACGGAAGAACAGAAGGACATACTGGTATCTTCTCAGCCAAGTCAATGGGAGGTGATGTACCTGAGGAGGGAGGTCGAAGGTGCGAAACTATTAATAGATGATGGGAGGGTCTTGTAGAGGCCTGAGAGGCTACAGAGAAGTTCAAGTTGCAAAGTGAGTAGTTGTATCGTGACTAAGGATAACATTGATAAAATCACAAGGCTACTTGTGCCGAGTTTCTATGATCAAAGTCTAAATTCAATAGTTTGTGCTAATGCGCTATCTACGTTATTTGAAAATTCAATTAATACCTGAAACACTTGGCAGGGCGACGACAACTCTTTCTAACATGTAGCTGCTCCTCTGGAGACATACTTTCATCATCCGTATTGTCAGCATATTCAGAGCTCGATGCAGACTGCTTGACAGCGGTTATTGGCAGGATAAGATTATTTGTGTGAGTGATGGATGGACATCTTGCATTCTGGACCACTCTAGAGACTGGCTGGGGTGGCGGGCGTGAGATCGCTCTAGAAGCTGTCCGGGGTGATGGGCGTGACAGCACTCTAGAGGCTGGCCGGGGTGGTGGGTGTGAGATCTCTACAAAGACCTCAACACGACAACGAGTAAGAGGTGCAGGAGGAAATGTAGTGAGATGGGGAGGCCCATTTCAGTCAAAGCCACCGTTAGCAAATGCACGTTGCCTGTGGGAGTGGATTGAGCGATGTGTGGGTGCCTCCCCAATGATGATAGGATCTTTCAACATGACGAGGCGTGTGCGAGCAGCGTCACTTGTGACGGCTTGGATGGTAAGGGTGCCTGACTTGAGGGCATTGACGAGATTGTCACAGTGAGGGATTGTCAAATCATGGATACCTTTGGACCGAGTGAGCGAAGGTCGAATCTCGCCGGGCATCAAAGTTTCGTTGGGGTAGTCTACGAGGAAATATCCAAGCCGAGCTAGTTCCTTAGGTAGGGTTCTCCAGGGAAAGTTGTTTGGGGCACGTCCACGCAGGGTGCCGCCAACAGATGCTAGAAGAAAGTCAAGATGAGTGTAAGAGAAAAGTGACGAGACTTACCGACAAGCGCTGTTAATCCACCCATAATGCAAGGAATTCCATCGAGAACCTTCCATCCATCGTCAACTTGGAGACCTGTAGTAACCTCACTAACTCCAAGATCTTCTCCTCCTAGGTCCTCTGTCGACACTGCAGCATCTATGAGCTAGAAGTGATGATCAGGACCCAGAGATGAATTTAACTAGATGACTTACTATCTGAGAAATTGTGAAAGAGTGCATGTCCATCTGTGTGGCGGCATCAACAAGGTGCAACGACATGGATGTAGTCCAACAGGGTACCAAAGGCCATCAGTATAGATACAGTTGATTGATAACAGGTAAACGAGGCCATAGAAACCTTCAGAACATGGATAAATTATTAGTATATTCGAAGAAGTTTGGAATGTCGAGCTTCAAAAAAAGAGGGTGACGCTGACGAAGGTTTGACTTACCATACTTGGTAAATGACTCCCAAGAGGGTTGTGTATGGCCGGAGGCTCCTGCGAGGAAGGAAAGCAATATTTGGAGGTATCCTGAAGGCTACATGGGAGGCCCTGGAGGCTCATAAGGAGGTGCTGGAGGCCCGCGAGGGAATACAGGAGCATGTACTATTATTAGATGGCGGGAGGGTGGGTCTCAGAGACTAGTTTCCCATAACATAGAAACTGGGTCTCCGAGACCCTTTATAGGCACCGAGAAGTGCTGCCTGAGGTGATTCATGGGTGCAAGAAGTGGAGAGTGGGCGCTCCGGGAGCAGCGAGCTCGATATGGCGAATATTGGCATGGGGGAAAATGACAGACAATGAGATGATGTAGGTTCAATCAACTCGACCCTCGCATATTGAAACGTTCATTTATCATACTTAGCGCAAGTTTTCCCAAACGACTCACCAGCCTATATATGTTTCTACGCACCGGTCACGCCCCCCTCAACAAACATCTCAGGCATATTGACCGATTGCCCTACTTAATACCACGGGCAAGTTATTATCGGCAGTAGTAGCAGACCAGCTTACCCACCTTTTGGAACACCACCAACTTCTACCAAATACGCATTTTGGAGGCAGACCGGGGAGGTCTACCACAGACTCTCTTCACCTGCTTGAAGAAACCATCAAAACACTTGGAGGTCACACAAAGTGGCATCAGTGCTATTCCTAGACATTGAGGGCGCCTTCCCTAATGCAGTGACAAAGCACTTGATTCACAATATGCATATGAGACGCATCCCCACTGACCTAGTACAATTCACAGAATGGCTACTTACCTCTCGTCAAACAAGGCTGAAGTTCGATGGTTTCACCTCCGAGTGGTTCCCGGTCACCAATGGGATCAAACAGGGCGACCCTTTATCTATGATATTGTACATTATTTATAGTTCTGACCTTGTAGATGTCACAAAACCCCGCGCAGGAAGAGAAAGACTAAAGGAACTAACCTTAGCTTTTGTAGATGACACGGCGTTTATTGCCATCGCCGAAGACTTCACAAAGACTCACGCCATCCTCAAAGATATGTTAGAACACCCAGGTGGCGGGCATGAATGGTCTAAAGCTCACAACTCTCATTTTGAAACTAACAAATTTGCGCTAATGGACTTTTCTATGAACAGGAGTAGGTCCCGCCCTGACATGCACATACAAGGGGCAACTATCCGCCCAACATCATCTCATCGATTCCTTGGAGTCATCCTCGACCAAGAACTGCGTTGGACGGCCCAAGTAGACAACACTATCGCAAAAGGAACATCATATGTACTACAGCTACGTCAGTCTCTCCTCATCCAGCTAAAGGACTTCCACTACGCCTAATGCGACAATTATATCTAGCAGTTGCAGTACCGAAGATGTTATACTGCCGCAGACCTGTGGTTCTCCCCTATGTACTGAGAGGGATCGAACACCCCAGCAGCGAGGCTCCATAAGCGTGGCGAAGCGCTTATCTGCCATGACAGCGACTCGCCGCAACAGCAATCACAGGTGCCATGAGAACAACAGCAACTGGACATCATGGAAACCCACGCTAATCTCCTTCCCACCGCACTCCTCCTGCAAAATGTTTGTCACCGTGCAGTCCTAGCACCTAGCAGCCCTCCCCAGTACCCACCCACTGCACGCCCCACTCCGCAGAGCCGCTAAACAATATGTCAATGCCCACCGCACCTCCCTGCATCGCCTAACACACCATTTCAACATCTTCGCCAAACACGGTTGAAACCCTCATTCCCGCTAGACGTCCACCTCATGCGACAAACCCCTGGACCACCCATGTAGCTGCTAGCAAAGAGGCAGCTATCATGGAGCACGAGAACCTAACTGATCAAATCCAGATTTATAGTGATGGATCGCGTTATAAGGGACATGTTGGAGCAGTAGCAATATTGTTTCGGGCTGGTATGAGGCCCAGAATCCTGCGTTATCATCTAGGGACAGAAGAAGAGCACACTGTCTTTGAAGCAGAAGAAGTGGGACTGACCTTAGCAGCACAATTGTTAGCCACAGAACGGGACCCCATCTTCCCAGTATCCATCTCAGTTGATAACCAAGCCTCAATACACGCCGGTGAGAGTTTTCATTCACAACCAGGCTCCTATCTGGCAGATCATTTTCGCAGAATCATGAAGAAGATGGCTAAGAGAAACAACGAATTCAAAGTAATGATGCACTGGGTACCGGGACACTCAGACATCCACGGTAATGAAGAAGTCGACAAACATGCAAAGATAGCTTCAGAAAGCAGATTAAATAACAGCTCTAACACCCGACTACCACGTTATTTACGCCACCGTCCGCTACCACTGAGCGTATCAGCACTCCGAGAAGCCCAATCCAAGTCCATAGAAGCACGCTGGAGTCACTCCTGGCATCACTCCCCCCGCCACTACAGATTTGACCAAATAGACCCCCAAATCCTGAAGCGCTCATTCATCAAGCTTTCTGCCACCTTCTCCAAGCGTCTTACTAGCCTTTACATGTTCCTCCGCACTGGCCACGCTCCACTCAACCTGCATCTATTTCAGATTCGAAAATCCGCCAGCCCCTTCTGCGCACATTGCCCAGATGTAGAAGAAAACCGTGCATCATTACCTCCTAGTCTGCCCCTCCTACCAACGCGCACGCCTCTCCTTGATCAACAAACTAGGCCGCCGAGCATTGTCCATTCCATTCATCCTCACCGACCCCTCTGCCACACCCCACCTCGTCAGATTCGTCAACGCCACTCGACAAATGAAAGCAATCCTCGGTGAAATTCCACTCCCCCGCACACCTGCTAGCTGACACCCATTGTAGGCACACCATCGCCCACATCCAAGCTAGAACCCGAACCCCAAACCACCTACAATGACACCACCATAATAACATCACCATAATACACTCATCTACATGGAGTCACCATCCCTCACATTGGTCTCAGCTGGCAGTAGAACACAACCATCCGTCAACCATGGTCACCATCTACTTCATTTACCCATCTGCAACCAACCACGACTCCTGTACCTGCCCACGCAAGCGGCCGAGTACGCGCTTCTGTTTTTTATATTGATAGTCATTTATCACGTACGAACTTAGAGTCATCTCACCTCCAACGAGCAGCGCGTCTAAAATGGCTGGTGGGAACGGCGGACTGGTGGGGGCACGCTCCACATCAGGGCATTCGTGTGCTCAGAGTTGCGACAGGGATGCAGGGAGTCCCTTAGACTAGACAGTATTGTCCTCCATAGAGTACAACTCTCAATAGGACAGAAATTGGAACAAAAAAAAAATACGGAAAGTTAATAGCCCCAACTGCCCTCACTGCCCCGGAAAGGAAGAGACGATCCACCATTATCTGATAGAATGTCCCCACTACCAATGTGAGCGCCACACCATGTCGAACGCACTAGGTCGTCAGGCATCCTCCATCTCCTTCCTCTTGACCGACCCCAGCGCCACCACCCACCTAGTCAAATTTGTCAATGCAACTGGTAGAATGAGAAGCGTCCTCAGTGAAGTCCCCAACCCACGTTCCCCCACAGCCTGGCAGCCCCATTAGCAGATACCGAATCGTCAAGACCCTCCACTTCCATTCCCTCCCCTCAAGACAATGTATCATACAATACTCCATATCAATAATTTGTACTACCAACACCCACTCGTCTACACGGAGCCAACCTCGTCCCTCTCTGGTCCAAGTCAGCAGGAACACGGATCCCCTCAGCCAACCATGGGCACATTCCACATATCGTTCCACTGCATCCAAACCTGACTCCTGTACCTGACCGCAGTAGCGGCCGAGTACGCGTTATGTTTATTCCTTGATAGTCACATATCATGTCTCAGTATATCACAGTCATCTCATCTAGATCGAGTCGCGCGTCTAAAACGGCCGGCAGGAACGGCGGGACTGGTGGGGGTACGCCTCACACCAGGGCATTCGCGAACTCGGAGATGTGCAGGGGACACCGGGGGTCCCCACGACTAGATAGCAATGTCCTCCATAGAGTACAACTCTCCATAGGACAGAAAAATTGAATCAAAAAAAAAAAAAAAAGAGATGACGTGCTCACGTATGAGCGTCCTGGGATGGATATTTTGTCAGTAATTTTTGCGAGTGGTGGTGAGGATAGCGACGAGGAGAAGGATCGCATGGGCAATGTTGATGAGATGAGCGAGCCCCCTGCCGTCTCTGTGTCGTTCAATCCGGGCCCGGATGTCAAACCACCACCGGCGAATGGTATTGTGGAAGATGTTGACCTGGCTACGTTCAAGCCTACCTTCAGACCCAGAGAAATAAACCGAAAGACACAGACGAAGGAAAACAAAAACAAAAAAAGAAGGGTTCCAAGGGTGGCGCGCCGGTTTCTTTTGATGTAGACGAGGATGGTGGAGAGTCATTTTCGCTCACTGGATAGCCAGAGGTCGAGGGAGAAGACACGAAAGAATTGAGAGGAGGATATAAGGGGGGATATGTGGGTTGAAAAGCCTCCACCGGATACTGTGAATTCCCTGCTTATCACTGATGTGTCCCCTGGTCAGGGTAGTCAGGTTAGTAGACAGGAAAGCGGACCTCCTCGAGGCTCGTAAGAGGGCAATTGATTTCATATAGTGCTATAGCCTATATACAGGTTCAAATTCAAAAGTTAATGCTTTCCGAGTAGCTGCGTCCCTTGTAACGCTTCACCATGTTGTAAGTATCACCATCGATGTGCGGGTAACACCGACTGCACTATCGCCATTGGGTGGAGGAGACATATTCTGGAAGGTGTGGAAACACGAGTCGGAGGCATGTACACAGTGCAGTCGAGGAAGGCGGTTATGACTTGTAGAGAGCATTCTTGCTGGAACGGAGGCGAACTGCCGCGTGTCTTAGGCGTCTATGGAAACGAATTAGGTTAGGGTAGCATATAAACGCATAATACACACACCTCTGCAACTTAGAGAAAAACACCCACAATCCCTCGACCGTGCCCGACACCATCAACCTTCCAGCAAAATGCCACAGGTCCGAGTCATTCCAAACACCACACCCATCCGAACTTTTGAAGATCACGAGAGTACCGCAAGGGCAGTCGCAGTTTTCCCCGATATGCGACGAATGGTTACGGCCTCTGCCGACAAGACACTTCGTCTTTGGGACTTGGAGACAGGTGTTGTGATGAAGAAGATGCAGGGGCATAGCGATTGGGTAATGGCATTGGCAGTATCACGAGATGGTCAAATGATTGCAAGCGGTGATGACAATGGAGAAATCATCGCCTGGCACGGTGAAACTCTCACCCAACCCATCAAAGCCCACTCCAGTTATATCTACTCGGTGGATTTTTCTCCGGATGGTGCGGTGCTGGTTACTGGTTCATATGACAAGACGGTGAAGTTTTGGTGTACCAAAACGTGGCAGATGCAAGGAGAACCAATCAAGTGTGGTGGTTTTGTCCACTGCGTTCGATATTCGCCTTCTGGTGAACTTCTTGCCATCGCAACAGAAGAGAATATCCAAATTTATAATCCAGGCACCAGGGAACGCATCGCATCTTTCAAGGGTCACGCATCCAACTGGTTACTCGCGTGGACGTCTGATGGCACACGCCTTCTTTCTGGAGGCAAATCTAGCGATCCTACCATACGAGAGTGGGATCCATTAACCTGGGAGCAGGTCGGTCATCCCTGGGAAGGCCATACTGACCATATCACCGCCATTGCCATTCATCCCGCTGGCACTCTCATCGCTTCTGCATCTATGGACAACCATGTCCATCTCTGGCGGCTCTCAGATCGACAAATCATCGCCATCTTCCAGCATTCGTCCTGGCTGTTATCTGTCACTTTCTCCTCGGACGGCAAGCACATCTATAGCGTAGGCTGTGATAAAAAGACCTCAGAGTGGGCAGTACCCAGCAACGCTAATTCAAAGGCGAGTGTCTATCTTTGCACCTCGTAACACAATTCGAACATCCTTCGTGCAGATCCTGGATATCACGCCAGCCCACGATGCATGCATTGCTGGGGACCTGGACACCGCTGAAGAGTTACTCGCCCAAGAGATCTACACTGACCCCAACGACTATGCTTCTTATGCCCATCGCTCATTCATTCTGGCTCGAAAACACGCCTGGGATCTCGCCATTGATGATGCAATCAAGGTGAGTTGTACTGATCCATCATGACTCTCTTACTAAAGGATTACTTTGATTCGTGATATAGTCCATCAGCATTCAACATTCATTGACAGGCTACATCTCAAAGGGTATCGCCCTCTGCGGAAAAGGGCACATCCGGGACGCTAGGATAGCATTCGACGTCGCATCCATGTTCACGAACAAAGATTCAGGAACCAACCATTCTCTTATCTTGATCAAGGTAACTTCAATTTGTCTCGCACATTCTCTGTTTCATTGCGTGTTTCAGGCCATCGCCCTGTTCAATGCAGATCAACACGAGGAAGCAATGTTGCTCATCCAAGAGCTGGCTGCCGCTTGTCCGAATACTGATCCTCTCGTGCGTCGTGTCGTGGAAGTAAGTGTGATGCGACTACGCTTGGTCATCGACGCTGATCTTTACAATTCACTCATTAGACATATCTACGCGTTCAGCTCGGAATCGATGCTTTCGATGGCGAGCGTCATGACGAAGCCACTGATCACTTCACTGCCGCTGTCAACTCCATCACTTTCTCATCGAAATACATTCATTTGATATACGATGACTTCGTCATGGTGCGTCAAGATAATGCATACACAGTGATTTTTATAACTGAATACTTTCTCCAGCTCTTCGGCTGGGATCTCAAGTCTTCGTGTCTCACTGCCCACCAGACACGGTGCCAAGCACTCCTTTCGGCTGGTAAAACTGATGAAGCCCTCGAAGCACACAAATACATGATGGGCGCAATCGACGAAGCTGCCAGGGCCAGCTGCCTGGATTGGTCAAACGGCAAGTCCGGAGTCCGTGATAACATCTAGACTGCAATACTCACCCATATTTCACTCAGCTTTCAAGCGAGAATGCAGCGCGCCCTGTGCTGCCGGTGGAGATGCCGCCCTCACTGCGAGCGATTATGACAAGGCCATTGACCTATACTCGGCCGCAATCAATCTGAATCCTGGGTCTGATACTCTCTTTGCAAATCGTAGTAAGGCAAAGTTGGGTAAGAAGCTATGGATGGAAGCACTTCTCGATGCGCAGAAGGTGCGTTGGCATCTATCATTTCATAATCCATGCTCATTGCGGCGATACATAGGTCATTGAACTTGACTCTTTATCTTATCTTGGTTACAATCTGAAGTACGCAGCGCTTCATGGTGCACAACGTTATGATGAAGCGATCCAGACCGTCGAAACGATGTTCTCCAAATTGGATGATGCACCTGACGTTCGGACACGAAGTAAGCCTTTGAATAACACATTCGCCAACATGTTTAATTCTTTCTCCAGAGCTGCGCCAGCAGTATCTCAGACCTTCTGAGGTAGAACGTGCTATTCGACGGGTCATCGATGCCCGACTCGACAATGCTCCACTCCGTGTACTCGACACTATCACCGGTCTCTTATGCGATCGAGAGGCGCAGATAAGCGCCTTCACAATGAGCATAGACTATAAGGAGCTTGTGTCGTCAACAATCACGCGTCTAGACTTCCCCATGAAGCGCATCGAAGAAGTGGTGATGACGTATTTCCAATATGCCGCGCTATCACACAGGTGGGAAGGGAAGGAGCCGTTGCTGCAGGATATCCAGGGCAGGAGCGTGTATGACTCGGAATTGGATCCGGTTGGCGGCATGACGAAGTTGCGGTCCTTCTGCAACACTGCTCGTGATGCGGGGTATAACTGGGCATGGAGCGATACATGCTGCATCGATAAGGGCAACAACGTCGAACTCCAGGAATCGGTTAACTCCATGTTCGTCTGGTATCTCCACTCCGCGCTTACGATTGTCTACCTGTCGGATGTTCCACCATCGTCAAAGTGTGGCGCACTGGCAAAGAGCGCTTGGAACACGCGCGGATGGACGGTTCAAGAATATATCGCTCCCAAAGTCATTCTCTTTTATCACAATAATTGGACACTTTATCTTAATGATCGCACTCCCAACCACAAAGAGTCCGTCGCAATCATGCAGGAGTTGAAGGATGCGACGGGCATAGACCCACCAGCCGTTGCGGCCTTCCGTCCCAGCATGAGTGGCGCCAGAGAGAAACTCCATTGGGCGTCAACCCGCGTTACCACACGTCAGGAAGACATTGCATACTCGTTGTTTGGGATCTTTGGTGTCCGCCTGGCTGTAGATTATGGGGAGAAGCAGGACAAGGCTCTTGGGCGGCTCCTGCAGGAAATCGTGGCTCGGTCAGGTGACATCACCGGCCTCGATTGGGTCGGAAAACCATCAGAGTTCAATAGCTGTCTACCAGCCTCCATCACTTCATACGAAGCTCCACCATGCAGGCTACCACCCCTACTCGAAGATGAAATTCAGTCCTCGGTTTCATTGCTGCGAAAGACGGTGGCTGTGGATTTCGCTTCGACCCTTTATACCCGGCTTTGCGACGTGAGGGCCCCTCGCTTCGCAGCACAGAGACTGCGCCTGCCTTGTATTGCATTCAACGTCAGGGAAGTCAGACGGGTGCGTAGTCCAGCCCCAGAGACTCTGTTGAGGTATCGAGTGAAGGCAGACGGGCTTCGCGACTTGCTTATCACCACCGAAGAGACCCTGGTTCAGTTCTGGCCGACAAGGCCCACCGAGCAAAAATTTGTGCTTGTCCGTCCCTGGGATCGGTCTCTCCTCGAGCTACCTGACTTTGCAGAACCGCCTGAATTTGTGGAACCGTCTGACTTTGGAAACGATACGGAGAGCGAGGAGGATTATTGCACGCCACCCTCTTCCCCGTCAGACGACTGTTCCAGTGATTCTCCTGTAAATCAGAAGGTGGTTGACCTAGAATCACGAGCATTGCGGTTGCTTGTTCGCCTTGGGCAGCCTTTCTGCGCATTTTTGCTATCGCAGCAGCGCAGTGTAGAATACAAGAGGATCGCGTCGGACCATCATATCATTGGGCAGGTCGACGACGTGGTTTCTGTTGGAGACTTGATGGACATCAGGACCATAGAAATACTGTAGTCGTATGTTTTTTGTTTCAAAGTTTATAGATTTCTGAGCGGCTGTGCATTCATGCTTTAAAGATGATACTCGTACAGCATACGTATTATATATGCATGTGTATTGGACTGAAGTACTAAAGTCTTGTCACTTTCCTACTTACCATTTCAACGGGTTCGTCATATCTGAGAAACCCATGGCGGAGGACCTTTAGTCAGTAGCTCGTTTGCGCGCATGTTGCTCATGGGATATTCAGTTTCCCAATACCAGATGTGCCAAAAGATTGCACGTCAAATCCCAAACACGTTTGGGAGAGGGATGTAGAAAGCTAGTTCAAAAGATAGAGAGAACGCAACTATACTTCCTCTGTCACAAACTCAGTCGCACGGAAACAAGCATCTCTGCGAGCCAGATTTGACAAAATTCATTTTCTACAGATCTTACGTGCTTACATGTTATGGACAGCGGGGAGCAGCGCTTGGTGAGACACCCCTCCCTTCTGCACCCAGGTCCATCTTCGAGTACATTTCCAAGAAAGAAAAAGAACGCATTAAGAACTTCGCTGCAAGCCGCTTTGGCCCCCTGTCCACGTCGGGTGATTCCTCGCCAGGTCCCTCAATCCCCACGCCTCCCAGGATCACACACGCCGAGCTCCACGTCGCCCAAGCTGCTCTCCACGGGTTTCGGCCCTTTATGACTGATCCCTCTAAGCAGACAAGGTACGCTGCCGATCTCCGTGCATGCAAATCCTGGATCAGGCGCAATTCCACCCACACAGAAGCCTGGGCAGACACCCGAGGAGTTCGCAAAAGAGACAAGCAAGTAAACAGAATCAGCTGCGTTATTCCGTCCCGTCTCTGGAGCCATGGCTGGGCGGTTTACAAGTGCCATTGTTCTGGAACGAGGGCCTGCACACGCCTACTGCACAACCAAAGAGGGGGCGGACAGTATCGATGTGACGGAGGAGAAGCCGAGGGTGGAGAAGTCAAGGAAGAAGCCCCAAAGGTGCATGCTGCTCGACTTGGCATGCATGGTGCTGTGACGCGCGAGGTGTGTACGTGGCAGCCTGCACGGCTGCTGTGCAAACGCTTTGGGGTCAAGGTCCCTGTCGATACATCTGGGCCGTCCGCGCAGGTTTGGGGCTTGAATTCACAAGCACAGCGTCAGCGGACGAATTCGTAGGTGCAAGAAGTGGAGAGTGGGGGCTCCGGGAGTAGCAAGCGCGATGTTGCGAATATTGGCATGGGGGAAGATGATGGACAAGGGGATGACGTGCTCACGTATGAACGTCCTGGGATGGATATTTTTTTCTAGCAATTTTTGCGAGTGATGATGAGGAGAGCGACGAGGAAAAGCATTGCATGGACCATGTCGATGAGGTGAACAAGCCCCTGCCGTCAACACTAGGCTTGGATGTCAAGCCACCAGCAGCAAATGGTGCCATGGAAGATGTTGACCTGGCTACGTTCAAGTCTACCTTCATGCCCAGGGAATCCAAACCGAAAGACGCGGACAAGGAAAAGAAAAATAAGAAACAGAATAGTTGCAAAGGTGGCACACTTGTTTCTTTGACGTATACAAGAATGGCGGAGAGTCATTGTCTCTCACTGCTGCACATCCAAAACACAGAGATCGGGACAGCGAGAGGCCGAGGAAGAAGAAACGGAAGGATCGAGAGGGGGATGGCGATCAGGATATGTGGGTTGAAAAGCCTCCGCCGGACATCGTGAAAGCCCTGCCTATTACAGATCTGTCCCCTGACGAGGGCGGTCGGGTCAGTGGACAGGAAAGCGGACCTCCTCGTGCTCGTAAGAGGGCAATTGATTTCATATAGCGCTTAAATTATGTACAGGTTCAAATTCAACAGTTAATGTTAATTTTGGCGAGTAGCTGCGCCTCTTGTAACGCTTCATCATGATGCAAGTATCACCATGGACGTGCGGGTAAGCAACATCAACTGCACTATCGCCATTGAATAGGAGGGTATGTATTCTGGAAGCTGTGGAGACACGAGTCGGAGGTGTGTACACAGTGGAGTCGAGGAAGGCGGTTATGACTCGTGGAGAGCAGTATTCTTGCTGGAACGGAGGCGAACTGCCTCGTGTCTTGGGCGTCTATGGACACGAATTAGGTTAGTGTAGTGAATCAGCATAAAAACGCACAATACACGCACCTCTGCAGTTTAGTGAAAGACACCCACAGTCCCTCGACCGCCCTCGACACCATCAACCTCCCAGTAAAATGCTACAGGTCATTACAAGCACGACGCCCATTCGAACTTTTGCAGATCATGAGGGGACCATAAGGGCAGTCGCAGTTTTACCCAATAAGCGACGAATGGCTACGGGCTCTGCCGACAAGACACTTTGTCTTTGGGACTTGGAGACAGGTGTTGTGTTGAAGAAGATGGAGGGGCATAGCAGTGGGGTGATGGTATTGGTGGTATCACGAGATGGTCAAATAATAGCAAGTGGTGATGAAAATGGAGAGCTCATTGCCTGGCACGGTGAAAACTGGTGAATCTCTCACCCAACCCATCAAAGCCCACTCAGATACAATCTATTCGGTGGATTTTTCTCCGGATGGTGCGGTGCTGGCTACTGGTTCAAAGGACGAAATAGTGAAGTTTTGGTGTACCAAAACGTGGCAGGTGCAAGGAGAACAAATCGAGTGTGATTCTTTTGTCCACTGCATTCGATATTCGCCTTCTGGTGAACTTCTTGCCATCGCAACAACCGACAATATCCAAATTTATAATCCAGGCACAAGGGAACTCATTGCGTCTTTCATGGGTCACACTGGAACCAACTGGAGACTCGTGTGGACGCCCGATGGCACACGCCTTCTTTCAGGAGGCAACAATCGCGATCCTACCATTCGAGAGTGGGATGCATTGACCTGGCAGGAGGTCGGTCATCCCTGGAAAGGCCACACTAGCATTATCTACGCCATTGTCATTCATCCCTTTGGCACCCTCATCGCTTCTGCATCTGATGACCACAGTGTCCGTCTCTGGAGGCTCTCAGATCAACGAACCATCGCCATCTTCGAGCATTCATCTTCCCTGAGATGTGTCACGTTCTCCGCGGACGGCAAGCACATCTTTAGTGGAGGCCAAGATACAAAGATCTCAGAGTGGGCACTACCAAAGAATGTCAATCCAAAGGCGAGTTTCCATCTTTGACCCTCATAACACAATTCGAGCATCCTTCGTGCAGATCCTGGATATCACGACAGCCCGCGATGCATGCATTGTTGGGGACCTGGACACCGCCGAAGAGTTACTCGCCCAAGAGATCCACACCGACGCCAACGACTATACTTCATATGCTCATCGCTCATTCGTTATGACACGAAAACACGCCTGGGACCTCGCCCTTGCTGATGCAATCAAGGTGAGTTGTACTGACCTATCATGGCAATCTTACTAAAGGCATTCGTGACATAGTCCATCAGCATTCAACCCTCATTGACGGGCTACATCTCAAAGGGTATCGCCCTCTGCGGAAAAGGCCATGTCCGGGACGCCAGGATAGCATTCGACGTCGCATCCATGTTCACCAACCAAGATCCAGGAACCAACCATTTTCTTATCTTGATCAAGGTAAGTCCAATTTGTCTCGCACATTCTCTGCTTCATTACGTGTTTCAGGCCATTGCCCTGTTCAACGCAGATCAACACGAGGAAGCAATGCTGCTCATCAAAGAGGTGGCTGCCGCTTGTCCGAATACTGATCCTCTCGCGCGTTGTGTCGTGGAAGTAAGCGTTATGCGGCTACGCTTGGTCATCGACGCTGATCTTTACAACTCGCACATTAGACATATCTACGTGTTCAGCTCGGAATAAAAGCCTTCGACAGCGCACGTCACGATGAAGCCGCCGATCACTTCACTGCCGCTGTCAATTCGGGCGTTTTCTCTTCGAAATACATTCATCAATTATACGAGGACTTGACGGCGGTGCGTCAAGATGATGCATATATGCTTTTCATAACTGAGTGTTTTGTCCAGCTCTTCGGCTGGGATCTCGAATCTTTGTGTCTCACTGCCCACCAGAAACGGTGCCAGGCGTTTCTTTTGGCAGGTAAACCTGATGAAGCCCTCGAAGCACACAAATACATGATGGATGGCATTGACGAGTCTGCGAAGGCCAGCTGCCTCGATTGGTCCAACGGCAAGTCTTCAGTCATGTCACCCGCGGCCATCATACTCACCCGCTTGTCACTCAGAGTTCAAAGAGCAATGTAGTGCACTCGCTGCACACGATGACCGTATTCTTGGTGTATGTACCTCCTTCCTCAACTCTTTCGTTACTGATCATTATGCAGGTGGAGATCCCGGGGCAAGAGCAAGATGGCTATGATACAGAACCTAATTTCTTCCACGGAATGCATCAAGTGCGTGCAACAGCGGATCCTTCTTTTCTCTCTCACATCGTTCATTACAGCATTCTCAGATCTCTCGACCACGACCTCAACAGCGCCGTGGGCGTCTCAAAAGACTGAGACTCGCTGTGACGAGAACCCCTCGCTCAGCCCTCCCGCCAGCACCTGTACCACCTACCCCACCGCCAGTCGCTGCTGCTACCACCTTCAGAACCCACATACGACATTTATTCACCCGGCCGCCCCATTATGAAACGCCACCCGTGGTCGACGTTCCTTATGCGCAGGGTTTACAGGTTCGCCCAGTCGATTTCTATAAATGTGTCTTGGGTATCTGATGCGTACATTTACAGCGTTATGCTGCAGCAGGTGCTCCTGGGAGTGAGCACTCCTTGATACGTGATGAAGACTATCATGGACCTCCTACACCGGACCCCAATTTACAACAGCAACATCCAGTAGCAGTGCAGGTAGATCCCGGAGAACATGGAGGCGACCGGTCGTGTTGCTGCTAGGGCAATTTGTAGATGTCCCTTGATTATCTCAGCTCTATTATCGATCCTGTTGTGATATCTACATTGACTTGGAGCAGTATATGCTTTATTGATAGGTGATGACCATTGTTCTGTAAATCATTTTTCGTCCTTGTATCAAGAGCTAATTATGAACTTCCCGTCCTTCATATGCAAAGTTGCTTGCGCATTACGGGAGTCACGTTCGAGTTTTTGAATCGTCATCGTGTTCACGAGAACCTGAGAGGGATTCGATATATCACCCCAGAAGCTTGAGGGGAATACACACAAAGAATGAATCGCCCAGAGCTGGCATAAGGTTCTGCAGGTGAAAATTTTTCCAGGTCACCTGCAATTATGTATCATGAAATCAAGCATAGCGTGAGAGACGAGTAGTATGAATTCGAAATGAGAGATACACGACTAATGAGATGCTACGTAGGTTAATGAGAAGTAGATTACTCACCGAAAGGATCATCAACCTGATTGAACAGCTCATTCTGGGATATTTCAGGTGTCATATTGATGATCAACAAACCGAAGATCAGTTCTCCGATCATGTCTGCAAGCCTCCGTGGACTGCCTTGCAGAGTCATGGCATCACCCCACGCTACGGATCTCTCGTATGACAGTATCCCGATAGCGTTGATTCCCAGAGGCCCATCCCGCCAAGCTTGAGCGACATATAATTAAATCTCTGCGGGTATGCCCACTAGGAAGGGACTGGTTCTTTCTGCTGATGACTGTAGATAGACCGTGTAGGCTATGAAACGAATACCAAGGTGATACGATGAAGTAACCCACCTTCAAGTCTGATAGACTGGCCTTCTGACAGCATCACTCCTGCGTCGTCTGCGATTGACAAGAGTGAATCGTTGTTGTTTTCCTTTGGGATCATTAGGGGCACAGGCATCAAGATCTAAGGTGCATCGCCGTGACAGACATGATTTGCTGAGCTGCTTTACTGCGAGTCGTTTGGTTCGGTATTGCGAGACCTTGGACCTCAGTTAATCAAGAACTAGCAATGTAGCAAATGCATGAGCACTAGAAGCGACTTTGACAGTCGAAGGTGTATGCTCTTGCATATACACCTTCGGGTGACAAAAGAGCCTCGGAATTTGTATTTGGGACACATACGAACTTGTTGTTGACACCTGGGTTGGAATTTGAGGTGAGCGTGGGTTGCGGTCAGAGTTAGACAGTAGTGCTAATGAGCACTAACTTGAAACTTTAACGTATTTACCTCCAAATTCTCCTTAGTCATTTTTCCTGGTATTCTGCGGGGGTGGCTTTGAGTGAGAGTGGGGGTGGTGGTGGGGAGTCGGAGTGGGTGAGGAGCGGAGTGGGAGGTTGGTGGTGGGCTTGGGAGGATAGGATATTTTGGTGAGCACTGAACAGGGAGCGGTGGAGGAGAGTCGCTCGTGATATTAATTCATGATTTGTAATGTGGTGGTTTACGAGTTTGATAAAGGGTTATACAAAGACGGACTCGAGCCAGACAGAGTGATTGGTCCAATCGCACGTATATGGTGCAGAATGTAAAACCACGATATGTACAACGCACAGTACAATAGCAATAATTTCTGAAGTGGAACTTCAAAAGAAACTCAGGATACTTGGTCCACACTCACGTGACCGTGACACACGCGTTAAAAACACCAGACCAGACCATTCAGATATTAGACCAACACCCTTAGAACTTAGAGACACCAAGTAGTGCTTGCTCTCCTCTTTGCCTCTTATATTCAACTCTATAAATGTCTTCACTTACCCCGCTCAAAGCATCTATGCTCAACCTCAAACCACATAAAAATGAAGCTGCGCTCCGGATCCGCAACAGTTCTGCTGCCCTCATCGCTGTACTCTTTCTTACGCATCTTACTCCAGCACCATCGCTATGGACAGCTGTGGATGTCGTTCTCAATGATTCAGGGGAA